TGTATAGTGTTATTTTCATTTCCTAGCACCGGGTCGATACCACTGTAGGTGAACTGTTTGTCCCTAAGAATATCATCACATAATGTATAGCAACTAATTTTAAATTATCCGTTGATATATTTAGAAACTAAAGATTCCAACCCCCACAGGCAAAATAGACTTTAGATGAATTTTGCTATTCTGTGTATGTCCCTTTTGGTCCTATAGCTCCTAACGTTTCTACATATGTTCACCAACCCAGTTGTCAGTTCTTCGGTACTGATATTCACCAACCCAGTTGTCAGTACTTCTGTACTGATATTCACCAGCCCAGTTACCAGTACTTCGGTACTGATATTTACCAACCTAGTTACCAGTACTTCGGTATTGGCATGAAAAAATTGCTTGATTGAAATTTGTTGTTATCAAATTTTGGAAGTTATTTTAAATAAAGGAATATCTCTCTCATGCAAAGCACTCATTCCTTGTCCAGATTTGGTTATACTTAAGGTCATATCAACTTTTCAAATATTTTGGTCTCGATCTTCACTGAAGTGACATTAATTTTCGAAATGCGCATCTGGATCAGTAAAATTGGTGCCGTTTATGTTTTTATACACCACTGGCTTTTAATTGGTAAGGTTTAGGCGTCCTGAAGGAGGAAAGTCAAGAAAAGTTCTTCGGATGCACGAAATTTATAAAATGTTATTTTCATTTCCTAAATGTGTACTCTCACTGGGGGGAAGGAAAGAATGTCAAAGAGAGAATCGTTCAGATAAGATTGTATGAAAATAAACCGAGTGTATAAAAGCGATACTATCGCCTGAAAAAACGGTAAAAGTAAAAAAAGTCGTAGAAGGCTAACAGGCATAGATCGAAACTAGTACACCTTCCTACCAAAACAAATCCCAGAAATTTGCGGAAACGCGGCTGTCTGGTCCAGAGACGTAGTTCAAATTCCCATATGAAAGGTTCCTCTGAAGAACTGACAGAACTCACTTGTCTTGAATATTTTTAACCATTGTTTTAGAATAGGTTATTCTTTCTAAACATTGTGACTTTTTTTTCCCTGCTCGCTCGAATTTTAGGAAAAGGAGTTACGAAAGTTCCCCTTCCTCTAGAGGCAGTACTGTCGGAGGGCAGGACCATAACCTACCCTGATTCTTCCCCTTCACCACTTTGTTTTTTTTTGCCATTGGATGAAGCAGAAGGTTTAGGGTAGCTGTCAATTAGTCTTGCATGCATTGACCAGAAGATGGACTAGGAGCCTTCTTATGATAGGCATTAGACTGAAAATTTGAAGTGGAAATTAACCTTCCTCACTACATCAGTTACCTGTATATCAACCTTCACAGCTTTTAGAGCTTTATCTACTTCTTCTTGAAGTTTTTTCTGCTAATGAAAATCGTCTTTGTGATAGTGAAATAGTCCAAAGTTTCCAAGTTGGGAAGCAAGAAGGCTTTGGCCCGCATGTAAGAGGAGGGATTTTTGGTCATCGAAATTTTCCCCTTAGTCCATTAGCAAGTCAATTGCCATGCAGGGCGGATCTATAACATTTTTTTGACGGTTTAATGCTAAAAAATTGTATATTTTCCAATCAAAGAGGGGGTGGGGTGTACGCCCTCTACCCCCCTGAATCCGCCACTGATTGCAGCTGCCAACAAATGTTCAATGCTGTTCAAAGGACGTTGTACTTTAATTGAGACTATTCTTAGACTTAGTCAAAACAGATTTATATAAACACAATCATTGTTTCATTCTACAGCTTCAACGCATAATATGAACTAAAAAGTATTATTATACTTTCCCATGGGTCTAATAATCATTGAGTCTTTCTAAATGAAAGAAAGAGGACCAGGGCCAACGTACTTGCAACCTAAATTTTTGCTTGAATAATCATCTGCAAAAGATTCATTCACGTAAGCAAAAGCACACGTTGCTTGACTTTGGAAATGGCTTAACAAGGTGAAGGATTTGTAGCTCTTAGAATTATCCTCAATACAACCCGAACCTGAGCAAGCCATGAAGTCAGATGGGGCACGTATGTAACGATGTGGAGAACACACATAGGAGCACCTGAGTACTCGCGACGTATTGAACACGCTAGACTGCTCAAAGCTTCCCTATGCCCAACTATAGAATGGTCATCCTCATCATGTCTACTGAAGCATGTGTACCAACTATGGAAATTGAAGGGTTAGACCTTCCAGGGGCGTAGCTAGGCCAATATGATGTGTACTCAATGCCAGAGGAGGAAGTGAAACTGTAAGGGGTTTGGGGGCGCTGAAGGCCCCCAGAAACTCTGGGTAAATGGTAAAATCCTGCATTCTCGCAATTTCCTGGGACTTAAAATGACCTCACCGAAATCTTATTTTCATGAGTAACAAGTCAACTTTTGAAAAAAAAATGAATATTGATTAGAGAAAAAAAACAAGTACTGTTGGCTTAGGAATTTGGATTTTCTAATGTGTAGTGGGTTGAGCTTGATTAAATTAAATTAAAAATGTCATATCATTAAATGATATTCGTTGCTAATTAGTTAAGGTTAAAAGGGGTGGTAAAGGGTGGTATTTGCATGGAAAAAACGTTAAATACAAAGAAGTAAAAACAATTTCACGATGAACGTGAAATATTTTCGTCCATGAACGTTGATAAAAAAGTACTATATAACGAACGCATGTCATAGGTTGGAAACCTTTACATGTAACTGGCAAATATATAATATTTACGTTTTAAGTCCCGAAATCTATAAGGAAAATGATCAAATTATTTCCTATTTCTTTTTATTAACTTCCAAAACGATAGTCTTTTAATTTTACCAAGCACGGAAAACAAGGACTTTAAATCTCGAAGCATGGAAAATAAGCACTTTTAATCTCGAAGCACGTATAACTAAGTTAGGGGAACACTTTGAACGAGGCACCCGTCTTGCACAGCTGAACGTACAAATAAACTAGAGGCTCTCAAGAGCCTGTGTCGCTCACCTGTATTTACTGATGCTTTGGAAATCATGTAAAATAAGGTTAAAATCATAATTAATAGTATTAGATATTAGATATTATAATGATATCTAAGATGATAACAAAAAACTGCAAAATTTTTGTAAATTTACTAACTCAGGGGCATCAACCCAACAACGGGTTGTCGGATTCGTCTGAAAATTTCAGGGCAGATAAATCTAAATCTGATGAACATTTTTGCCACCTGTCAGATTTGCTCTAAATGCTTTAGTTTCAGAGATATAAACTAAAAACTGCATTTTACCCCTATGTTCTATTTTTAACCAAGTCGGCCATGATGGTTGGAAGGCAGGGTCATCGGACAAAATTTTTAAACTAGATATCCTAATAATGATTTTGGCCAAGTATGGTTAAATTTGTGTCAGTAGTTTCAGAGAAGAAGATTTTTGTAAAAGATTACAAAAATTTACAAAAATTGTTAAAAATTGACTATTAAGGGCAATAACTCCTAAAGGGGTCGACTGACAATTTTGGTCATCCAACTTATTTGTAGATCTTACTTTGCTGAACATTATTGCTGTTTACAGTTTATCTCTATCTATAATAATATTCAAGATAATAACCAAAATCTGCAAAATTTCCTTAAAATTACCAATTCAGGGGCAGCAACCCAACAACAGGTTATCAGATTTGTCTGAAAATTTCAGGGCAGATATATCTTGACCTGATAAACAATTTTACCCCATGTCAGATTTGCTCTAAATGCTTTGGTTTCAGAGATATAAGCCAAAATCTACATTTTACCCCTATGTTCTATTTTTAGCCATGGCGGCCATCTTGGTTGGTTGACCGGATCACCGGACACATTTTTTAAACTAGATACCCCAATGATGATTGTGACCAAGTTTGGTTAAATTTGACCCAGTAGTTTCAGAGGAGAAGATTTTTGTAAAAACAGACGACGCCGGACGACAGACGCAAAGTGATGAGAAAAGCTCACTTGGCCCTTCGGGCCAGGTGAGCTAAAAAAGTAAAAACTCGTTGATCGTCAATTTAAATTTAAAAAAACGGCAAGCACGATGCACGAAAATTACCCTTTACCAACCTTGTTAAACTTAAGTCTGACTGGACTGTTTAAAAAAATCTGTTATGACGACGTAATATAATTAAGACTATACATACCTCACAGGAAAACCATGAGAATGAATCGGTGTTCATGGTCTCTTTATAACGTCATATTTTATTTCGCCAGTTATTTTGAAATCTTCAGAAAAGATGTCAGGACTGGGTAAGGAGGCATAGAATTGTTTTCTGACACCTCGAGGACCATTTTAATTGTTTGCATCAGCAACATATAATCATGATGCTGGTTCCGTAAATGAAAAGTAATTTCAAGAATGGAATATAGCTACAAAGTGATTATTAACATGTTTAATTTGTAAAATAGTTTTTAATTTAATTTATTACTTTAGTTTTATTTTTACTAGATTTACCATATTTTATTTTTGTAAAATTTTCGATGTGTACGCAATTGCGTTTTTGCGTACGGGTTGATACACGCCTGCCTTCGGCTGGAAACAAAAGTAAAATTTTATTAATAAATCGTTTTTTGTTTTGGGGTATTTTTGATTTTTTGTGTATTTTTTTTTTATAAAAGTCGAAAAAAATTTTAGTCCTGATATAAACCCCCTAAACTGAGCCTCCTCATGGGGTTTTTGATTATGTGATTACTTGGCCGTTTGTATAGTGATTATTTGATTAGTTTACCCAGAGACATTCATATATTATATGTCTCTGGTTTACCAGACCAAATATTTCATGATTAATTATTTGATAATCTAGGACTGTACTTTTAATGATTATGTGATTAAATTGGCAAAACTTTTGTGATTATGTGATTACTTGGATGCCCCCATGAGGGGCTTCTAAACTGATTGAACTGTCAGTGTCTGAAAAATTTTCATATTTTCGCGGTATTTTTTTTATATGTTTATTTTTGATAAAACCCGAAAAATCCGAATGTACCCTAACCATAATATCACGTGATCTGACGTATTTTGCAAGTTTCGAAGATGGCAGCGAGACCAAACTGGAGCTCGTTGCCCAGTGTCCTTATTGTGGATATTTTATCCTACCTTTCGCATAAAGACAGACTGAACGCTTCATCAAGTTGTAAAAGATGGAGGAACTGTCTTTTTCATCCATTATTTTGGCAAAAGATTAATTTCAGAACAAGTTATTCAGACAGACAGAGGACGAAGTTTTTGACAGACAGATGTGGGAGATTCGTCAGACAAGTGGTTATAAATTTTGACTCCCACAACCACAAAGAAGTTCGTGAATGCTCACAGATCTTAGATGTACTTTGTGGAAATAAGAATCTAACAAGTTTTTCGTTGTTGCCTTCGAGTTGTCACATTGAATGGCCTGATACACAGTCAACGTATTTTATTGACAGGTAAGCGCCATGACGTAAATATTTACAAATACCAGCTGTGACCTTTAAATAGTAATTCAACCAATCAAATTTATTTTAAGTTTAGATCATAACTGTAAACAAAAGCATGTGCATGAACAGATGTTGACAAAGTTATTGAAATTGTGACACTTTAATAACTAAAATTCATTTTCAATATAGATTTTAAGAAAAACTTAAATGGCTGCTGCCAGCAGGTTAACTTCATATATTCCTCCTATCTAGGGGAACCACCACCAGATAACATATGTTGTAAAGAGAAACATTTAACACACTGAATTGCAGTCTGATTAAAATCAAACCTCTCACTTGGTATCGTTTATTTATGTGTCACGCTCCAACACACGACATATAACATGTATAAATAACGGATCTCCTGTAGTTGGTGATCGCAATACTGGTATACTAGTATTGTGCACAATACTGGTATAAAAATTTTGTACCAGTATTGTATTCCAGTATTGTACCAGTATTGTGTTTTTTTTTTAAATAAACAATACATATATATAGGTTATTAATCTTTTATTAAAGGTGTCACATATACATGTATATGCATAATGATATTATCATATGACATGACAATTTCATATGGAAGGATTGTATGTTTAACTGATGATGCCATTGATGGTACACTAGCTGTGAATGTAATCAAAGAAAGTGTTAAATCATCTGATGTTTTTTTCTTAAGGGAACCGTACTGTCTCAGCATTTTAACAAACTCTTTACTTTCTTCTATGTTTTCTTCCAGCTCTCTATTTCCAAGTCTCAATAGTATATGTTAGTGAAGTTTATATTGACATTAATGCTGTTATAGCTACTGTATCATCAGCATTGGTATTGTTTATTTCTTCTTCAGATGGCATTTCTGCAACCCCCACTTCCTATATTGATATTTATGCATTCAGTCTGTGGACTTTCTCTTACGCTTACTAGATTACAAGCTTGTTTAGATAACACCTGTACGGCTCTCTTACTGTAGGAGTGCTTGTCTAGTATTAGTATTTGAGTATTTGTACCAGTAGATGTATCTGCTACAAATTGTATTGCCCATGGTTCTGAATCAACTGCTTTAACTACCCTTAACAATCATGTAGACAAACAAGTTAATTTGATTATAATCAGGTTCCCCTATTAAGCAACTTTTTATGTTTAATGGATATTGATATCTTTTATCATGTTTATTGTGAAAGATTGATAAGAAAATAAAGACAAACAAATGCTTAGAATCTTAGTATACATGTATTAAAATATCTGTAAAAAATATACGATCGCATACATGTAAATGCTGAATTTACAGTGTTATAGTGTAACAATTTGCTTGAATTTATTAAATAATAACTCAGATAATAAAGCTTTATTTTTTTTATCTAAATTGAACTAAATAAAATATAGAAATATGATAAAATTATTAGCAATTATTTATATAATTATCAATTGTTTGAATAAGATGAAGTAATTACAATAATTTTTATGCAGTTAAGCTGCATTATGCGAGCACCCTAGATTTGTGTCCTACCCAATAAATGCTAAAATACTTGCCATTGTTATTATCTAGCTGGCTACTACGTTATATATAACTAATTGAACACTTTTTTAATACTTTTAATTCTGGATTACAAAAAATATGACCAGAAAAACCTTAAATGATCGTCGAATCACCCAAAAGTTTTGAAGTTGCACATAGGAAGTAGTGCTCATTAGGAATCCTTATGTAGTTTATTATCGCCTGTGCTTTTGGCTAAGATGTCAAAGAACAATTGTATGAAATATTTAATCGCCGAAAATCTCTAATCTCAAATGGCAAAAGTCGTAGGAATATTGTTTGTCGTCAATACGTAGTACAACTACGTCAGTAGTCTATTATATAATAAGTTTAACTGTTCATGCTGTTGGCGGCAATTTCAAATTAGTAGACGAAATTTTCGTATCTTTTTAATTTGGAGGCAGGGGTTTAAACTAGCGGTGGTCCGAGGTCCGCGACCTTCCACTTTTGTAATAGGACTTTCGACTTGGTAACTAGCTACGCCCGACAGACCTTCCACTTGAAAGAAAATAAAAAATAACTTTGCAAACCTTTTCACCAAAGTCTCCAAATAAACGATCTCAAAACTTATTTTCATCATTATTATTTATGACAGCGATGTTCATTTTGTTCAACCGCTAGCTTTATACAGAAAGTCGCCGACAAATAATGTGTAAATTCGAGTAAAATCGTATCTGACTGACAAAAACAACATTGTAAACACAATGACAATGGATGCCGTGAAGACAATTATAATATCGGATCCACTCCGGAAGCGGATATGGGTAATTCCGGGTTTTGGCAATCAACTAAAAAAAAAAATCCAGGCAGGTGACAAAATACATCTATGCATGGTAAATGAATATAAACACTAGAATTGAAAACCAAAAGATATATGTAAAAGAAAGAAAAAGCAGAAAATATTTTATACAGAAAGTCAAAATTACCTTTTGACAAATTTTAATGTCAAAATCCAATACAATGTGACAGCTGGTCACAGTATATCTAACAATATATATATTCCTGGTCACAGTATAAATTTTCTTTATCAGTGATAAATGTTGATAATGCATGTAAGATGCTTTTAAAGTGTAAACATATTACTGCAATTTTGAAGGGGTATAGTTTTCTAAATTTGGATGGTTATATGTCTCTGGTTAAAGTAGCTGGAAGTTTCTTACTTTATTTTCACAAATAATGCACCTATATTATATAATACCTGAATGTAAGCAAATCATATGATATATAGGTGGCATCCTTTGGGCCACTCTACCCCTCCTGTTTGATAACTTTGATACGGATGAGATCCCCACCTCTCAACCATATACATTCATGTATGGGACTATATAACTAAAATGAAATTAAATATAGGGGAGTTCCTGGGGTCACCCACCCCCTCCTGTTTGGGAACTTTTGAAACAGTTGGGATCCCCACCCCTAAACCATATATATTCAAGTATGGGACAATATAACTTATCAAATGAAATCTAGGGGGAGTCCATGGGGTCACCCACCCCTCCTGTTTGATAACATATAAATTATTTGCCTTAATAATTAATTCATTAGATAAACATAAATGTACAATATATGAATGTTAAATGTTGAAGCAACATTGCCACAGTTTTCATAATTACGTTTGCCTTGGTTTTTGGTTAACTGCCTCAGCGCTTACAGCGCTTTGATTGTTTATTTGTACAAGTATAGTAATTATTTTTAACTGGTTGTTAATTGATTTCACAATTATCCTCTATAATCTTTTTGAGTTCATTTAATCTCCCTTTGATCTTTAATATCTAATTTTGCTTAAATTTCATTTTTCATTCTACACCTTAAAGTATAGTGAACAATACAACTACAATACTGGTATATCAGTAATGTACCAGTATTGTTGTTTTTTTAAAAAAAAGTCACAATACTGGTACAAAATTTTTATACCAGTATTATGGACAATACTGGTATACCAGTATTGCGATCACCAACTACAGGAGATCCTAAATAACAATAGTAAGCGAGAGGTTTGATTTTAATCTTGACTGAATTGGTACATATACATTCCTACCCAGTCCCCCAGCATGGCCAGGCAGGTCTTATCATTAGAGAGTTAACTTTTTCCAAAACATCAATATATACCATGCAGTAATTTGTGTAAAACATAAAAGCATACAGGATCACCTCAACAGCTGCTGAATAGCTCATCCGAAAAATATAACATATGGTAATAGAGGAAAGCGGCAAATTCAACCGTAAGGATCTAGGAAAGAAACCACCAATTCATTAGGAGAACTTCTAAAAATCCTCAAACACCACAAGGATTGGTCTGCAGGTGCGATTCCAGGATTTTGAAAAAGGGGGGCCATCTGGCAAGCCGATATGTGGAGTGATACTTGTAAAAAGTCTATGTATTTATTAGGGATGTCAACGAGTACTCGAGTATTCGACTATCGCTCTGTAGTACAGAGTATCGAATACCAAAACGATACTCGACTAATCGATTGATTGTTAGAATATTGCTGTCTTCTTTAATTATTTATATAAAATATATCTTCTTGTGAACATCGTTCGGTAAATTAAGAAGGCATCACTGACTAATCATACTAGTAAATAAAATACATTTTATTTCGAATGCTTGTGCTAAATTGACATTTAAAATGCCTCCGAAAATATGTGTGTTATACATAGGCTTACACTTTAAACTAAACATGTCTTAGCCATTCCGTCACATTGTACTGTCAGATTAAATATTTTCGTCTGCAAGACTGTAATTCACAAAGTTGCAAAACCAACTGTCCCCAAAAAACATGAAAAAAGTTGACAAGAAAATGTTTCCAAATAAAATAAATACGTTGCATCCTCTGGTGGCCCTCAGTGAATAGTTAAACTTCTAATCCATACCCCTATTGTAAACATTAATTTTGTTTTCTTAACGATTACCAAAAACTATTGTTTGATATGGTTTTCCTTGTTATCATTTTTTAAATAAGTGTTCATTAAATTATATTGATTAGATTATTGTTTTTTACTTAATTAGTACATGTACATGTAGGTAATGAGCTTTTAATTAGGGTGTTTAATTCCTTGTCCCAGATACTTGTGTAGATGGTTTTTCGTCCGTTGAACAACAAACCACAGAATGTAAAAGACTAATTTTTGTGTTTCCGTGTTGTAGATATATTTCCGAGCAATTACTCAAGTATCGCTCGATAAAACCAACGGGTACTCGATAAGTAATTGTTCGCAGAGTTGACATCCCTAGTATTTATCGATATCATATATGAAGCTCCATAAGGGGGAGCCCCTGGACCTTCCCCCTAAATCTGCCTCTGGTCTGATTGTTTTCCAAATTGGAAACTTCTAATGAACCCAACCTGACGAGTACCATGTGCATTATTATACGACCACTAAAATGCGGTCGTATAATGGTATGATATCTTCCTCGGAAGACGTTTAATTTCAAGACAATAACTTGAGAGTATAATTGTATCATGTATGGATCTCTATGAAATTTACAACAAGGTTCCATACATCAAAAGGAAGGTTTGGATTGATTTTGGGGGTTTTGTGTCAAAAACAAGGATTTTCTGGTTTTCCAGAATCCGGACAATAAGTGGAGTATAAGTCTATGGATCTCTATGAAATTGTACCAAAAGGTTACATACATGTACCAAAAAAGGAAGGTTGGGATTGACTTTGGTGGTTATGGCCCTATCTATTTAGGAAAAATTAAAGGGGCCAAAAAGCAAGTATTATCAAAATACTTTGTATAAATTGCATATTTCTAGACCAATTTCAATTGGGTTTAATTCAAAGTTGAATTCTTCAGTGTCCACATGTGGACACTATACACATTTATTTTTTTATGAAGTGAACCCCTTTAAAAACTTAGCTAATATTGTCCATTAAGAAATAAATTTTTGGTGTATTTGGATATGGTCACACTCCAAATTCAGAGCTGTATCAAGCTTGAATGTAGTGTCCATACTTGCCCCAAATATTCAGGGTTCGACCTTTGCAGTCATTTTAAGCGGTGGCCTGCATTTTTATGCCCCCATTGCAGTGGAGGGAGCATTAAATGTTACCCGTGGCCATCCGTACGTCCCAAAATTGGTTTCCTTCCTCTTATTTTAGTTTGCCTCAACCAAATGTTATGAAACAGTGGAATATTATATCATTTGCAAGTTACTATAAAATGTATATCTTTGACCATTTTCATGAGGTACAGCTACATTGTAATGCAAAACTTAAGACAATCCGAAATTTCTATAAATAATACTTTTGTTTTCAGGTTTTTAGACTGCATTGAAAGTATTATAAAGAACAGCAAAAAACTGAAACACTTTTCCTTGGGATTTGCAGAAGAGTTACTAGAACATTCCAGTATTATCCTTGACTTACTTGGAAGGAACTGCTCACGTATGTTAGAAAGTCTTCACATTGCCAGCATTAAAGAAGATTCAGAGAACTATGGTATTATTGATCTCAGTGCATCACAGTTCCTAACATTCACAGCCTTGAGACATCTTAGTGTAGACTATGATCATATGAGTAATGAACTTCTCTCAGCATTTAGTTCAGGCTGTAAAAACAGACTGGAGACCTTAGTTGTCAACGTTCATGGAATTGACTCAGAGCATGAGAAAGTGACAAACTACTCTTGGATTGCAGTCAGGAAGAACTGCCCAAAGCTGGAGGTGACTGTCAACTTGATCCATTCCTATGATGGTGTACAGGGCCTTCTAGACATCCTTCAGCCAGCCTTACCTCTAACATGTTTTAGACAAATGTTCTGTACAGATCTCAATCCATCTGCCATCAATTATTTCTCATCACATTACAAAGACACCCTCAGATCAATTTACATCATTGATGGTTTGAATGATGGCTTTCCTATACCATACTTTAGTCACATGGAAGAAGACACATTTGTCATGTTGGCTTGGAGATGTACCAAACTTGAAGAATTTACCTTGCTTGGTTTGTTTTGAATTAAGATGTTTAAGTTTTACCGTTTTAATTTCATTGACGTCTTTTAAGAATGAGCCATATTGATCTTTTTTCAAGAATTGAAGTACTCTTAGTATCACAAATATTCCAGATCAGTATTTTGTTTTAATATAAGAATGTTAAAATTATAACCGTGAACGATAATATGTAACTCAAATTCACAATTTTGATACATGTAGAATTATTCTGTTTAAATTTTTTTTTCACATTTCTTAATATACCTGCATGTTCTATAAATGTGATTAAGCTATCTTTAAAACTCTGTTTTTAGGGTAAGATCAGATATTATATTTATGTATTACATTGTAGACTGTTTTGTAGGGTATGAGATTTTGGATGATGATATAATGGCTATCGCCAGACTACGTGGTGAGCAGTTGAAGAAATTTGATATTCCTCTGTCATGTATTGCCACTTTGGATGAAGATGAAGAAACACCAGCTCGATATGCTTATGTGGATGATGATTTTGTAGTCAGTGTAGGTTTTGATTATATATGATAGATCGACGTGTTAATAAACTGCATGCCTGGGTAGGTGTATGTATAGTGCTAAACTGTGTATTTCCATGGCTTCTAAAAGGGTCATATACATGTATTCCGGACATTTATAAATTTACTGGACATTGTCCAACTGGGAAAAGCATGAAACAGACATCTACTTTTAGTTTTCAAGGCTTTCTTAAGAGACGGTCATTTAACATAATTAAAAAAAATTGAAGTTTATGCGATCTTTTGACCTGACCTTTTGCCTTCATTATGAACAGCCACACATTTCTGGTCATAAAAGTGACATGATGAATAAGTACTATCAAAACAAACCCTACTTTAATACCTTCTCATTTTAATCAAGGTTAATTAGTTGTCAGACAGCTGAAATTTACCTGTTCAGGCGACAGGTAAAACATTTTGTGCCAGACATTGATCAGTCTATTCAAAGTTATTTTCTTACATTTCAGCGGTTTCAATTTAATTTATTTAGTCAAAAAGATTGAAACTATCAGAAATATGTTTATAAATATGATTTGATGAAAAATTTAAAAAGGTTTTAAACGAAAATCGTCAGAACCATGTTGTTTGAACTAGTACACGTGTGCGCAGGTGGGAAATTTAATTATGCATCCTAATTCTTCAAAAATGCTAAAATAATCATTGATACCTTTATCTAACGTTCATTTCGAGTATTTTCTTGAAGAAATAACGTGGAAAGAGCTACTTAAACTCAATCGTGCTTTGTAAACGTACACAGAATTTACTTATCTGTCTCTTATCCGTGTTTTACCATTGTCAAGTCAACATCCGGTATCAGAAAAATGTGCTTTTTAAAAATGAAAGTAAAAGTTTTTGACAAAGTTATTTTGCACAAATAAAGAGTCTAAGGCAGATTTTAGTATGCTGAGGTTGCACACGTCGAATGATATACTGTCAGTTTAACAGTTTACGTCAGAACATCGAATTTATATCAAAGTAAAGTTTTAATATCGTTTTAATGTCAATCATTGGTTATATGATGGCCAACTGATTACCATAGTTGCCTTTTGATACTAAGTCTTAAGGGATTAAAATCAGGATATGACCTAAAATGTCCAGCTTGCTCAAATATTTTTTGGAAGCCCTGGTATGACGTCACATAATCAATATCAGTCACGGTTACAAGGGCTTCATCAAACCCCTAATCTGTATGACGTCACATAATCAATATCAGTCACAGTTACAAAGGCTTTATCAAACCCCTTATCTGTATGACGTCATGTAATGGATATCAGTCACTGTTACAAGGGCTTTATCAAACCCTTATCGGGGCCTTTATGGCCGAGTGGTCTAAGTAGTTACTACTGTAATCACTAGCCAGTCAACACTGAGGTTGTGAGTTCGAACACCGCTCGTGCGGGTGCACTCGACTCCAATCTTAATTGACTAGGATTGTCAGTTTTCCTATCGAAGGTCAGTGGTTTTCTCTGGGCACTCCGGCTTCCTCCACCAATAAAAACTGCCCGCCACGAAATAGCCTAAAAGTGGTGCTTAAAAGCGGCGTTAAAACACCAAAAAATCAAAATCAAATCAAACCCCTTATCTGTATGACGTCACATAATTGATATCAGTCACGGTTACAAAGGCTTTATCAAACCCCTTATCTGTATGACGTCACGTAATGGATATCAGCCATGGTTACAAAGGCTTTATCAAACCCCTTATCTGTATGAAGTCACATAGTCGATATCAGTCACGGTTACAAGGGCTTTATCAAACCCCTTATTTATGTTTTGCGTCATGTCGCCTGAAAAAAACATATAAATTAGTTGGACTTGAGGTACATGTATATGATAAAGTGTATATGATATTGCTTTTTAAATATCACACTCTGTATCAACCCTCAGCCAATATTATCCGTCGAGCAGAGCTCTTGGGATTATATTGTTGTCTATTGTTGATACAGGTGTGATATTAAAAAAGCCATATGATATTCTCTATTTATATCCTAATGTATGGGGTTCAGTAAAGGGGATGAATATTGTCCATGATTATATTATTTTTTTAGATGACTGGCAATCAGGACATTTAAAAATCTCTTAAGGGCTCATTGCCCATCCCAACCTGCTGAAGAGTACACTATTAATTATACAAAAGTCTTCTTTGTTCAACTGATTGTATCTTATTATTTTGATAAAATCTCTGAAGTAATTATCAGTAGGGAAATAAAAACTGAAGAAGTATATATGTTACAGTGAATTTGTATAATCAGGGATTATGTAGAATCCCTGATTTTTCAGAGATTATGTAGAATCACCAAAATCATTAGTGATTATATATAATCCCTGAAAATGACCAGTGATTTTACATAATCACTGAACATTAATATAATTATTCTACAAATTCCCTAGTATGATTTCAGGGATTATCAATAATTAAAAGATCCTGTGTTTGATAAAAATTAGATAAAGATAACTTGTCATTTGTGTTTTCTTATTCCTTGAAAGTTTAAGTATTTAAATTGTTTAAGGGCTCCTACCATCTCTTATATTTCATATAGATAACACTCTTTACATCATTACACATTAACATAAGGTTGGGGCTGGTGGGCATGGATCTAAAAAAAATAACAAATCTTAAATATCTGAAGATGATATGCAATTTATTTAATTTCAAGTTCATTATGGTTTTCAAAGATCATTTATATGACAAAAAATGTTCAAACTGTAAATCCACAGTTCATTTTATTTGTAGTAAAACAAATGGTGAGGAAGGTTATGAAACATCTGTGTGTATTTTGTGTTCAAATGAACAAGAAATTCAAACTGAGAGAACTGAAGCAACTAAATGTATAGAAAAATTCGTAAGGGTTCCGCGGAACCCAGTGTCTCGCCTACTTTTGCTGTTGTCTATATTTTCAGTGTGATAGGATCATGCACATGATAGATTAGTTTAACAGTTACTGAAATGGTTTATGTATCTAATAAATGTTTTAAAAACTTTAACTGCAGACTGAATGTTAGCTGAAAAAAAACCAAGTCCATTTATAAGTAATGTACGGATAAACAGGCAATAATTTGTTTTTAAATTTCCTTCAAGATACTAGCTTTTGATCATAAACAAGTTTCTGTCCAAGTTTGGTACAAATCCAGGATAGTTTAAGAAAGTTATTAATTTTTTTTTAATTTTAACCACAGTGAATGTAATGTTTGTTTTTTAAAATATTGTGCTTAATATTTTAATATGTTGTGCTTAATAATTTAGTATATTGTTCCTAACATTTTGATATGTTGTGCATAACATTTTAATGTATTCGAGGTTATCATTTTAACATTTTGTGCTTTACATTCTACAATCTATATGTTTATAATGATGTTTTAATATGATTTTAAAGAATGAATTATTTAAATTTTATTCATTTTCTATATAAATGAAACTAATTCTTCATTTCAGTTATTCTGTATAATCCCTGACTTTTTTTCTAGTGATTTTACATAATCCCTGAAAATTTTAGTGATTATATATAACCCCTAAACTAACCAGTGATTCTACATAATCCCTGAAAATTTTAGGGATTCTACATAATCACTGATTATACAAATTCACTGTAACATATATATATTAGTTGTACTAAACCTTTTTATTCTTTCCCACAGGTGTCTAACAGCTTAAAGTGGCCTTGGTATCCAAAAGAAGATAGTGAACTACCATTAGCAGTATTTGATGCTCAAGCTGACGCTGAACTAGCCTACATTGAGATCCTACTGTCTGACCAGCAACAGAAGTGACAACGTACAGCAAGCACTTACCAAAAATATTATTGGAATAGCTGAAGTTGGGGAAATTTTCTTTATCAGTACAACATGAATTTATTGGTTTCAGTTTTGTCTGTTTATTGTAATATATACTTTATATACACACAAAAGATATTTTGTTAAAACATGTTTTTTTTTATTGACATGTTTTTCATTTATATTTTATTTTGACCAAACGTTTCAGTTATCTTTTAGATGTCAAATTAACTCAATGTTCCTTTAAAAAAAACATTGATGTTTAACGTAACTCATGATAGTATATTAGTAATAACATAAAAGGAAAATCTCAATGAAAAGTATGTGAATGAAAAAATGAATAAACATAATGACTCATTAAAATGGATTAGGGAAATTTAAGATCCATGCAATGATATAATTGGTTGGTTAATAACATTGTGAGTAGGGTTTTGATATCATCACACTGAAGTCTTGTTTAAGGAAAGTAATGGATAATTAAAGCAAAATATAAATTTGTCAATTCTATGTTATTATTTTGTACCCTTTGAAATTACTTTATGACTTTGATACTTAATAGAAATCATATTATCATTTTTATGTTGTCAGATCTAATAATACCTCTCAGTTTAGCCTTTTAACATCAGTAAATGATTTATAAGATTACATATACACATGTATAAACTAATAGCTGTCCTCACTTTGGTAAGTGTTTTCTGGTTTTATGAAAATCATATATAAGGACACCATCAGAATCAAAAAGTATTTTGCTAACCATCTATTATAGTGCTTTAATGTAGTTCTAGTCAATTCTTGCCGTATTTATTGTAATAAAAGATCATTCCAGTAGTCTTAATAAACATGTTGACTCAAAGAACTTTTGATATATACTATTTTGTTTAATTTTTATCATTATGAAGAATCTGAGAATATGGCAAAGGTTTTAAAATTATATTGGAACAATATGTTATCAAAATAATGTGATAGACATTGTGATCTTTAAGTATGAGGTCATGTGATACAGAACCATACGTGCCAATTATAGAAATAGATCTGAGTGCAATATTTTGTGATACATCTTAATACCACAAGAAATGGTGGGATAAAGAAACAAACGATTATTTTTATTTTATAATCTAAGATTCTGATGTTTTACTCCTATATATCCTGTTGTTGTGAATTTTGTGCTATATTTTATGTGCTTGAAGAATTTTACAACTTTATACACCATCAAAGTGCATTTTAATTCCATTGTTGTTTAGTATTAATATTCTTTGATGAAAAAAGTGAAGGACTTTATATTAAAGTTTAATTCAAGAATTAGGTCAAAGTAATTTTTAGCTTCCATTTGCTCCTATTCAATTTTTTCAAGGATAAAAAAATATGAAATTATTCTATCTTACACATCTTAATGTTGCAAACAAATCAAAGGACTAATATTTAAGTTAGAATGGACTTCACATGTAAACCCTCATGCAGCTCAATGAATAATTAGGTCATCTATACACAACTTTTCCTGTAAAGATGTATATTTTAAATATATGTGAGGGAAAATTGCATTAAAGTGGTAAATAGTACATCTCTTGTTAACCTAGGTGTAGCTAACTAAAGAAAGTCATCTCCTTTTATTTGTTTGTGAATTGCTGCTTAAGTGAAATATATTTTCCTTCATTTCTTTCATCAATTTAGGTGAACATGAAAAAGTAGCTAAATCAGCAAGTAAAGAACTAGCTACAATTTTCAAAGGATAAGTGCAATCAAAAATAAAAATTTAGAAAACCAAGATCTAAGTTTTTAACTCAATGTTGTTATTTGATTTGTTATTTATTTAAACATCCTTGTTAACTTTGGTCCATTTTATACACTGAGAGACCAAATATTGTTGATTTTTACAAAAAGTTCCAGCACATTCATATAGCAAGCCTTTGGTATATTTATTAAAATGGGCATTTGTAAAGGCGTAAGAATATCAGGTTTTCAATCTTACAGAAATATTTTCTTCAGTGGTTGATATTTACATTACTACAAGGGATCATTGCTGGAGTATATATAACTGCAAGTTCATATTCCATTGTTGACTAACAACAAGTAATGTTTCATGTTAGTAGTTGCATTTAAGACTATTTTATTGTAAACATATAAAGAGAGATAATTGTTAAACAGCAAAGAACTAGGCAAAGCATAAAGACTTGATATATTCTCTTGTTGTTAGTGCAACATTTTGGGGGAAATTATGAAATTTAACAGGTTTGAAAACTGGATATTTCAAGTACTGCTATATGTGGATATGTGTTTTAACAACTTGATGTAAATATGTAAATAAGTTTTTTTTTATTAAGTTTGTTGTTTTATTTTTATTGTTCTATATTATAGATAATTACCAGTGTTTTCTGAAATTTTCATTATTTTAACAAATATTGTGTTAGAAATTACAAGCTTGAAATCTCTTGGATGTTGTCATGAAATTTTTCATACTAGGTTATTTTTTTCTGCATCATGGGACATTTTTATGTAAAAAATGATTTAGAGAGCTAGTAATATGTAGTACTGTTGTAATTTCAGTTCAATAAAAAGCTAAAATGCCATAGCTTATAAAAATATAAACAATCTAACTTTGGTTTCTCTAGGCAGTTATGTAAAATTATGATTCCATGTCTGTTTGATGTGCCAATCTGAAAAAAGTTATTGGAAATCTAAAACGTAATTTAAAAAATTGTTATCGGGAATTAACAAATTGTGTGAAGAAAAATAAACAGAAGACCTGAAATATGAAAGATGAAATAAAAAAAAACTCCAACATACAACACATCACAATGAAGTTGATACATCATGTCAACTTACTACAACTATATTAACACAATCTATATAAGTATGGTAATAATGTGTTACAGTAATTGATTACAGTATTTGTTATAATAATGAATGAACACATGTTATATATGAATCACAAAGTCAGTTGAATTATACCACAGTCTTTCTTTATACATGTATTACATTGTCAAAGATCTTTGTGTGGGACTCATCCTTAAATGATCTCAAATATTCAACAGTCCCATTTAAACATGTATGTACAAAGTTTTTACTGGAGAAAGACGAAGAACATATCAAATGAAGTTCAAATGTGTTTGTAAAATCTTTACAGAATAGCATGTAATGTGAATATTTGTAAAATCTTTACAGAAAAACATGTAATGTGAATATTTAAGCCATCTCTTTAACTATTGAAATATGCCAAATCTGTAAATTGACAATGTTTATTTTTAATTTTCCCTTCTAAAATGATAAGGTATTAAATACACTACATATGTGGGGAATATATTTGTCATCTCAGTACTACTTTTCACATTTAGGATGCGATAAAGTGTGGATGAAAGACATTTGTAATAAAATTTGATACAATTATTTCAATCTCATCCATAGGCAAATGATAGCTTAATATTGAATACAAAAAAAAAAAATAACAGATATTTTTTTTTTATTATTCTATCAGTATGAAAACGATTTCTTATTATTTTCTTGAATTATGACAAGATTTAACAAAAATTTGATTTTGTTTGTACTTTTCGGCATGCATATTCTATTGAAAAATCACATTATTTGATATGGAACTCCCTAGTATGTTGGTTACTTACTTATAAGAATCTCATATATGTTTACAATGTCCATAGTAAAATAATTGTTGTCATTAATATCGTGACAGTGAGTCATAGCTTTTGTTATAGATATGTAAAATATATTATAAATTATGTCAAAATAAGATCATTATAAATACGGGTAACAAACTTGATACGATGTGATGTCATACACGGGTGATATATAGAAATTTATATTAATGTTATAAACATGCCTTGGTCAATCATGCAATTTGCTGATGTTTGTAATTAAATTGTTATCAAGATCCTGAAGAAACTTGACTGTCAAAGGTTTATTCATAACTTATATATTACATAATCTTCGTGTATTTCAAAAGTACACTTCCGTACAAAATTATTGACATTGTCCAGAAGAAATGGAAGTAAAGATGGATGAAAGAAGAATTTTAAATGTTTATGGCCATGCCAATTGAACTTACAGTTCTTTAGATACTCCCTCACCATTTTAGTGAGATTTTATTTTTTCATAAATGAAGACTTCTCTGCATCTTTCATTTTAGATATTTTTGCAGCTATAGATTTGATACAAAATTTTGGAAAATTTTACTTAAAGCTCAGTATGTGAAAAATGAAAATTTTGCAAACGAATACAAATTAGAAAAAAAACACATATATTCAATAAATATTTATATGAATATCCATAGATTATTATTCAGAGGAGGGAGATAAATAGTTACTTATTGGCACATTTAAAAAAAAATCTTAAGTTCATCAAAAATAAAATTTGTGTTGCTTTTTGATACAATGTGTTGTAAGTTTTGCTATAACGAGTGGAAATGATAACTGCTATCTAATTACAAATTCAATGTATAATTTGTCAAATGACCAACCTTAAATAGTCAAGTTTCTGATGATTGAATGTATAAGTAAGGAAATATTTATTAAGCCTTAAGAAGAAGTGTGAGAGGTTGTAAGCTAACAATTATGGAAAACTAACTTACTAATGTGGTGTAAAATTAGACAAAACTTTATAATGTGACCAACTAAGAAAAACATGTGGAATGTATGTTATTTAATGTTGTGTAAATAGTGTGTATACATATTTGTTATTATCTTTAAATCAAACATTCAATTAATGTAGTATCTAAGGGTCTATCTCAGCTCATCAGCTGAACAAAAACTGGATCAAAATAAACCGAGACTAGTCATTTGACATTATTAAATTTATAAAAAGACAAACAAATCTATCATTGGTGTTTAATATATGCTTATTCCTTCTTCTAATGATAATAGTTGATTGCAAAAAGATTTTTTTTAAAAATAGTTTTCTTCAATTGTAGATAAGTTGAATTTAACTAGGGATAATGTTACACTGACAATTTTCTTATCACACATTTACAAGTTTTAGAAATAGTTGATTGATTGAACAAGGCCTGAACTTTCAAAGGTGTAAAACATGATGGAATGTTCATCCAAGATGAGAAAATATTTTAGAAAAGAGAAAATGATACCTAATCACTGATGAAGACAAGTATGTTGACATTTGGCCTTATATTTGTGTACATTAAAAACACTCATTTTTCTGACCTTTTTTTTCTTTCTGGAAACTGGTGCAATTTTCTGGTCCACAGACAACAGATAAGCACAAATAAATGTCTATTATCTAAGAGAATTAAATGTTTCAGATGTATTTTCTTCAAAATCAATATTATTAGAATTACTTGTAAGCCTTATTTAGATCAGACAAATCTCATAATGGCCCTCATACTTCCAGAAAAGAAGGGGCATTAATAGCAGTTTTGTTTGCCAACACATAGGATTTATAGTTTGAGGAAAAAAATCATATTATCATTATTGTGTGATAACATTACTAATGATAATTTTCAGTACAGTAAAAATTATGATCAAGTATTAATTTTATGCATTTATCATAATTTTAACACTAACAAAACATATCCCACTGTAATGGATCATTGAAATTAAATTTTTTGAGCATTGAAAGCTATCACTTTTTTCACAGGATGTTTAGGGTCAAACTCCTCATTATCTACTGTGAAACACACCATGTATCATGCATTAGTCTAATATATTGTCTTAGTATTTATTATACCAAGTGAAGAATATTTAAGTGAAAAACTTGTTTGTCTATATAGCTATGTAGTATTGCTATGCTTGTCTCTCATTTTTATGACCTAATTATGGTTACTTTGATCTTGTCCTAAATATGCATGAAATATTTGGCACTGTTGCCACTGTATGTTAGTAAACAAGATTCCTTAAATCAATGTATAACAGAATTTTGAACATTTATATTTAATTTTAACTGGTTATTACCTGTTTTACTTACATATATATATATATACACGATATTTGCCAAACTTGATTTCTTCCACCATAAATGTATCAGCATAACAGTGAAAATGAGAATGTCATTTGAAGGTCATGTTTTTGCTCAGAACTTTTGGAAGAGAAATAGTGAATATTATACTTGTTGGATTAAAAGGACAGTGTATGTGCATTTTAAAAATGTTTTGTTTACTTAGTAAAAGATTATGTGAATTAATGAATGATATTTAATCTTTGTCATCTGATAAGAATTATCCAATATCAGATAAGGGCATTTGAAATCAATCATACAAGAAATGTACAGGGAATCAGGAATACGCCAATTTTTATCAAATAAATCCCTTCCTGGATGTTATATATGCTTGTGTAAAATGATGTTGTGTATATAGTTGTTTTATTTATGCTTTAATTGTTTGATGTATCCAATGCTCTAGAAAGGAGCACAAGGTGCTGAGAACATCAATGGGGAGACAACCCATGAATCAACAAATAATGCTTGTTGATTAATATAGTATGATTATTCTTAAATAGTTTTAATGGGAGGTTTGATACAAACTGCTCGAACAGAAAGATTTTGTCATTTAACTTAATCTATGTGAGTTCATGAAGAGGAAATACATATGTGAAAAATCATTAAACAAATTAAGCCCTCTTCCACAAACTATCTCATGTACATGAGATATTTTTGAAATGTAAAACATGAAGTACTGTTTAAAAATGAATTAGTGTATTGAGAATGGTTCCTATTGAATAATCATACTATATTTAGACAACCAAGTAAGAATGATCATATTGTATAAAATATTTTGTCAATTGTGTGATTATAAGAAAGACACAATAACATCAATCACGATGGACTTGTGGTAAAAACATTCTAATACCAAAATGTGTTCAAACGAAGTCAACACCGAAACATGTGACAGTCAATCTAATATACATTAATAACCCAAGTAGGAAGTCATTTTTATAATACGATCTCATCTAGGAAATTTTTCATTCATTGAATTTTGCCCCTTTATAACAATTCAAAATTACCTACATCAATGGATAAAAATGGCATTTCTTTGATTAAGTGTTGAATATTTTCTCATAAAAACACTGCAAGTATCTTTTAAAATGTATGTGTTTTGACATCTATCTGCATTTAAAAGGGAAAAAGGGACAAAAATCAAATGAAAAGTTTCTTATATACATCCTCATTTGTCTTCCAGAAAGAAAATGTACTTAATACATTGTGATGTTAATACAATGTGTTGTAAATGTTCAATGGTCTGTATTAATTATACAAATTAAAAAGGATTGTTCTGTAATCAAAGTATGATTAGGGAACGTTTTAGATTTGAACATCATTGCCATTAAAGTAAGAAAAATGTATAGATATATGTATTGTTTGTTTCAAAAATTGGAAAATAAGACAAATAAAAAGCTACTTGACATTCCAACATATAAAGCTTGATTTACATGAAGAAAAAAACATTCCATGATTGACTGTCTCATGATATATAGGTACATATAATGTATATCTGTTACAGCTTATATTATGTGCTTATTAAGGAACCTTGGCAATGGATACCAACTGTCTTTCATTAAGTCTAGAGAGATCCTGTCATTTGAACTAGTCATCAGACAAGATACGGCACTGGTGACAGGTGCTATCATTTACAGTAGCTAAATAAACCAATTTATTTCACTCTTACTAGCAAGGCATACAGTAACTATGTTTGTAAATAACAGACTGTAGATGTTAGTACCAAAAACTGAGTTAATATTCTAAGCAAATTTTCCATTCTAATGATATGGTTATACTATTACAAAATTTTGTTTTTGACATTAAGACAATAAATCTTAAGTGACTTTGTGCTAAATAAAATTTTTCTAATTGTTAAATAGTACTCTTTTGGTATAAACCATTTATAGTCTTTAAGTCAGTGCTCAATAAAGGTCTTCAAAGAAATGAAATGGTTTATTTAGCTATTGTATTATGTTTTGTTTTAAAAACATACCAGTTAATATCAGTTTATAATAAAAGTGCCAAAGTCAAGTCCATTAAAGACTCATGCCTTTGAAACAACTTGTTTGTTTTATCTTGTTATAAGTAGAATTGTTACACAAGAAAAAGTTTTATGATTTTATGTATATTATGGAAGTTGATATCTGAAGTACAATAAAGATGAGCATCTGTGCTCCATATCTGTGTTTATTATTTTACTTAGTGCCTTCATTATTTTGTCAAAAGCAGGAAAACTGAAATACATGTATACTGGATTAAGAGCACAAACAGTGTCAATAGGCCGGAATTGAGAGAACAATTCTTGATGAAATTTTGTGATAAAGGATAGCATGATGTAATTAATATAGACCAAATAAAGTCAGTTGTGTGAATTATAGATGTGAGGTATATGTCAATTAGACATCAACCTAACAACACATTAAAACCGAAAAAAGACATCTACTAGTAATTCAACTAGAGTCAACAAACAGCCAGTAAAGGCCAAGTGTTGTAAACATTGGTTAACCTGTAAATTGGTCGAGACGTTTTCCAAATTGTGTGTACAGATAAGAAGAAAAATTGATTGATGTTTACTTTAGATTGTCTTAGTGTAATAAACTATTTAGGGATGAGATGAATAAAAAGATATGCAGTTGAGGATCCAGGAGGATTTTTCCAGATTGATATAATTGTCATATGATGCATCCTTTTTTTTTCCATGGCGAAGACGTGTGAACTTCCTTTTCGTTTTTGTTCATAACTAATTTCTGCATTTTATTTGGCAGATTGCTCATTTTCATTCGGTCTTGGGCAGTATGGTTTATTTTTTGGCTCTTGCAAGGCCAGGATATTTATTTTCAACACCCCACCTCCAAGTCAAATGGTCATTCCCTAACAAAAGATAATAGAATTTGCAATAAAATTAAGATCAGAAGCACTTAAATCTATAAGGATAATACAAAATATAAACAATATCAAAATTTCAATGAAACCTCCTGCACAGATGTAAATAGCCATGTTTACATTAAATGATAGTCTTTCATTACAGCATATAGAATTGGTGTTGATCCAAAATCCATGATGGCTGCCATTTCATTGGATACTTTGAAAATCTCCATGGCCATCATCCTATTTATATAAATTCCATATATGATAAAAAGGTTTTGGTTAACACTAATGAGGCAGCAACCCAACAGTGACAAACAAATCAGACAACTACTTGCTTATAACCATCATCAACCTGTCACATTTTTCCCATGAAAAAGGGGGGGGGGGGGGGGGTGGAACCCCCCCCCCCTTTTTCATGGGAAAAATTTGGTTGATTATATAGGGAATCACTGAAGCATGACTGTAGCGGGCCCCCTCTTATGCAGGTAGTGGGCCCCCTTATAAAAAGTTCTGGATCTGCCACTGATTTTGTATGTTTAGTGGACTGTGAAATTGGGGTCAAAACTCTAATTTGGCATTAAAATTAGAAAGATCATATCATAGGGAACATGTGTACTAAATTTCAGGTTGATTGGACTTCAACTTCATCAAAAACTACCTTGACCAAAAACTTTAACCAGACGGGACAGACGGACGAACGAACGAACGAACGAATGCACAGACCAGATAACAATGCCCTTACTACTATCGTAGGCGGGTCATAAAAATGTCTCAAGTCAGGAGACTGTTCATTGGTTGTCGTTGGTTCAGGTCTGTCATGCTTGTTTTCATAAATTGCAGTTATAAATTAGGCCATTTGATGTTTCACTTTCTGTCATTTGAGAGCCTTTTATAGCCTTTTATAGCTGAATACACGGTATGAGTTTTGGTCATTGTTGAAGGCTTACAGTGACCTATAAATGTTTACATCCACATCATTTGAAAGCTCTGTTTTTGTCACCGGAACAAAAGTTTTTAGTATATAATATCATTCCAAAATCTACATGTCTGTTAGGCAGGATTCATCTGACCTTGATCTCATTTCATGTATCAATGATGAAAGTTAAGTTTTTGTGGTCAGAGGAATCTCTCAAATATTACAAGCAATAGGTAAACTATCTTTGGTGTTTGGAATGATTGTAAGGTGTACATGTCCTTCTGCCAGGGATTATCTGACATTGACCTCATTATATGGTTCATTAGTCAATGTTTAGTTTTCTTGGTTATGTCCATTTCTCTGATACTATAAGCAATAAGTAAACTATATTTGTGTGGATGAAAAGATTATAAGGTGTACATGTCAATCTGCCAGAGTACATTTGACTTTTCAGTTTATTGATGAACATATAGTTTTTTTTGGTATGGTCTGTTTCTCATATACTACATGTATGAGCAAATGTGTGCTTTGTATCGATCTGACTAGTTAATATAAAAATAAGGAGATGTGGTATGATTGCTAATGAGACAACTATCCACCAAAGTTCAAATGAATGGGATGTATAACCTTTTTCAACTGATTTTTAGTTTGTTCTTATGTTGTGCTATTAAACTACTGTCCCAGGTTAGGGTATGCTTGGATGCCCAAGGACATGTTTGACCCTGTCACATTCTGTATGTGCCTGTTCCAAGTCAGGAGCCAGTAATTCAGTGGTTGTCATTTTTTGCTGTATATCATATTTGTTTTTCATTTATTGTTTTGTACATATATCAGGCTGTTGGTTTTCTTGTTTGAATTGTTTTACATTTGTCATTTTGGGGCCTTTCATAGCGTGCTATGGGTTTTGTTCATTGTTGAAGACCATATGGTGACTCATAGTTGTTAACTTCTATGTCATTTGGTCTTTGGTAGAGAGTTGTCTCATTGGCAATCATACCATATCCTCTTATTATATTAAAATAAAATTTGTTATTCTATCCCCACAATATGTGCACCAAAATATCCATATTTATAAGTAATCACCCATTAAATATTTTCGCCAGTAAAATTATTCAATAATCCACATTTAGGAACAACTAAAAATGATGAAAAACAAACAATAAAAATTGAATTATGTAATGTGTTCAATAGTCACTTCAAGTAATACAAATATGTTACACACAAGTCACATTTTCATCTGTTTATACAGTTTATGCTCAATAATTTACTATCATCTTTTATATACTACAAATTAACATTAATTTTATATGACAAGTTAGAGTCTGGTGCAATTGTTTTCAGTAGTCTTTGTTTCATTTCTTTCCAACGATGTCTGTCATTTCTGGTACAGCCTGCAATTAAGATCATACATGTGTTTTATTATATAAATAAAAGAACAGAGTTCCAATATCCCTCGCGTTGCACATATTTTATAGTTCTAAGGGCATAACTCTTTTAAAAAAAGTCGATCGTCCACCATTATAGAACTTGTCCGAGACATTGCTGATATTAACCTATAGTATAAGTTTTATAAAAATCTGGCAAGAATTGTATCTGTGAGAGCACTAACAAGACCGAACGGACGGACGCCCAGTATTTCCATGTCCGCGCAACGCATTACGCGGGGAACAATAAAGCTGCATTGAGCTAAGGTTCTAATATGCAACTGGGATTATGTTGACCTATTTTAACTATTTGAATTCAAATCTTTGATTATATATGTACATGTATGACACTAACAGTTTAGCTGAAATTGCATAAAAAGAGGAAAGGAGTATGGATTAAAATGAAAAAAAGGCAAATTTAATTTTATTGCCTTTCTGTATATTATTCCCTAATGCTCATCAATATATAAACTCCATTCTCTCCTCTTCATAAATTATAGCAAATATATAGACTCACACCATAATTTAGATATGTTGTACTGCATATCTGAGTTAAACAGAGCTTAGTGCCAAATACCAAGATATATATATGTAGTTGCTAAGAAAAAATGTGACAAAACATTACAAATGCATTATGATTAGAGGAGACAGATATATTCTGCAAACAGGAAGAAGATAAATGATGGGACTTACAATTCAATACATTTGAGAAATAAGCAAACAAACCATATATATATAAAAAAAAATTTAAAAAATGTATGTATATTTGTTACATATGGAAAAAGTTTTATAACATAACTAGCAGATAAGTGACAGGTTTGAAAATGAATCACAAAGCCAAGATCACCTAGATAAAGTTTGATATGTTATACTAGGAAGCTGTGATATGTAGTTCCTTGGAAAAATGTACAAATACATGTGACCTGAACCAGTCAGTGAAGAATGAAACATATAATTGTAATTCAATTAATCCCCATTACCTTCCCAGTATATAAGTCATCAATTACCATAAATCAAGTCCTGATACCTTAACTCCCTTTACCTTAAATAAGTCCTGAACTAGTCCATAATCAGCTACTTGAAATATTGGTGCTTCTGGGTCTTTATTGATAGCTACAATAACTTTACTATCCTTCATACCAGCTAAGTGTTGTATGGCACCAGATATTCCTACAGCTACATATAGATCCTGTAAAAAAACAAGGAAAGAGGATTTCAGTTTCTTACTTGAAAAGAAGTGCTTATAGAGATATGTCTCTTATTTCATTTTAAGACTTAAAATTGGAATTGGGGTTCACTTTTAGAACTGGGAAAATTACTTTTTTTCCTTCCCTTGTCAGAATTTGTTAATATTTTCTCCCCATATTTTTTCAGTACTTTAACTTAAATAGTACATTCAATTTGACCTTTTAACTGATACAAAATTGACATCAATAAATTCAAGTAACTTATTAAAAAAATTGATGATAGACCTGATTTTGATAATCTTTACATTACCAATATTTTTGATTTTGAGAAACGTAATGAAGTTTCAAGTTAATCATAAATTACGAGTGAAATTACGTATCCATCTACGGGATTTTTTTTTTTATCAAATGGCAGGAAATCATCTTATTTTTAATTTCATTACATGTAAAAGTGTTTGAATATTAACTGATAATAATTTCACTCGTTTAATTTGGCATAAAATCATTTTGCATTATACTATTTTACTATTAAGTGTCTATTCTGTCTTTGCTGAAAAGTTATTTAATAATGAAATAACTTGTCATGGAATATAATTTCTTTACAATATTAGTTCTGAGCTTGATCACTACTGTCAGGTGTGAAGAACACAGGTAAAAGTGATTAATATGGCAATATATCATACTATAACTGAGTGGCAGTTTTATGATTGAAAAATTCGTAAGGGTTCCGAGGAACCCAGTGTCTCGCCTACTTTTGCTGTTATCTATGTTATGCACATACATGTAATAGATTTACAGTTAATGAAATAAAACGTTTGAAATGTATGAAAAAAGTTATGCTTGTAAAAATGAATACAGTATGCAATCAAATCTATAGATTTATAAAAGAGTTGAAACATAAATTTATTGAATGAACAAATGATAAAGAAGATAATTTTTACATTGTTTGATGATTAATCCCTTAATTCAGACGACGACGGAATGTAGGATCGCTATGTCAACAAATCAAAGTCTTGATACTATCTTATGATTGTAAGAAGCTTCTGTCCAAGTTTGGTAAAAATCCAGGATGGTTTATGAATCTAATAAATGTTTTAAAAACTTTAACTGCAGACTGTATGTAATGTTAACTGGAAGAAAAACTAAGTCCATTTATAAGTAATATACGGAAAATCAGGAAATAAATTTTTACAAAATTTCCTTTTAGATACTAGCTTTTGATCATAAACAAGCTTCTGTCCAAGTTTGGTAAAATTCATGGATAGTTTTAGAAAGTTATTAATATTTTAAAAAAATTAACCACAGAGTGAATGTAATGTTAACTGGCAGAAAAACTAAGTCCATTTATAAGTAAAATATGGAACAAGATTTTTTTTTTACAAAATTTACTTCTGGATACTATCTTATGATCATAAACAAGCCTCTGTCCAAGTTTGGTAGAAATCCAGGATAGTTTAAGAAAGTTATTAAAATTTCAAAAACTTTAACCACAGAGTGAATATTTGTGGACGCCGCCGACGACGCAGACGGAATGTAGGATCGCTATGTCTTGATTTTTCGACAAAAGTCGAAGGCTCGACAAAAAGCATTGCAAAACAAAAATTAGTGCAAAATGGTGATTGAAAAACCGGATCTTAATAAACTTTATTTTGTGACTTAAATCCCAATCTACCATTGTAGTAAATGTAATTATAAATCTTCACAGAGGGTCATATTCCCTGTCAGTGTTTTATATCCCTTGAGGCACCAGTGCCCTCATTTTAACATTACTATTCTTATCTTTGTTTATGTTCATAAGGGATATGTAATCTTTACCCCTGTCAAGGTAAACAATCAAATTGCATGATTAGCCTGTACAATATTAAGTTATATTCATATAAATACAATCCCACTTACTGGAGCAACAATTTTTCCTGTTTGTCCTACTTGCATATCATTAGGAACAAAACCTGCATCTACAGCTGCTCTGGAGGCACCTACAGCGGCTCCCATCTTATCTGCTAAATCATACAACATCTTAAAGTTCTCACCATTCTTCATCCCTCGACCTGTAACAAGTACAATTATTGTAATCACAATGGACTTCTACTTCTTCATTGTCTGATAGAATACACAAATTTAACATTAACAGCATGGATCATGTTTGGTTCAGCTTATATCAAAATTGCAACAAATGTAAACAGAATTGTTTCTTTTCAACGACAGCATTGACTTTTACTTGTTTTTTTTTGCTTTCAAATGCTGCTTCATGTATTTAAACATTCTACTAGCAGTTATCAGGTAAAAAAAAAAAGTTTAATTTGACAAAAAGTATGTTTCTCTTTTTCTACAAAGGACAGTTTAAATTAAAAAAAATGTGGATAGTGTCCACATGTGGACACAGATGATGCCCCCGCTTGCATATCATATAGTTATAAAGGGACATAACTGACGAACGGTAAAAGTGAAGCTACCCAAATTTGAACTTGATCTGAGTTTTGTGGTAATAAGCAATGTGTGTAAGTCTCATAACATTTGGTTGAGACTAACTTAAGTAGAGAACAGAAACTAAAAATTCAGCAATTTTTCTATTTGTAAACACGCATAACTCTAGAACGGTTGTGTACAAGTTTTATAACATTTGGTTGAAACATACTAAAGTTAGAGAATAGAAATGAAAAATTCAGCAATTTTTATGTTTATAAAGGGACATAACTCAAGAATGGTAAAAGTGTCGCCATCAAATTTCGTACTTAATCTGTAATATGTAGTAATAAAGATTGTGTATAAGTTTCATAACATTTGGTTGTGGCAAACTAAAGTTAGAAAACAGAAACAAAAAATTTGTACTTGATCTTAGTTTTGTGGTAATGAATATTGTGTATAGGTTTCATAATGTTTGGTTGGGGCAAACTTAAGTTACAGAATGGAAACTAAAAATTTAGCAATCTTTTGATTTACAAAGGGCCTAACTCAATAATGGTTAAAGTGACACTACCCAAATTCAACTTGATCTGTATTTAATCAGTGGAAGTCAAAATTTAACATTACATTGTATAAAGCATTGATTGTAGTTGATTCAACTATAATCATGGACAAAGGAAGATGACTCCAATTTTAAAATTACTTGATATTTAGAAGAAAATAAAAATATAGCAATTTTTCCATTTATAAAGGAGCATAACTCTAGAACGGTTAAAGTGACGCAACCAAAGTTCAAACTTGATCTGTGTTTTGTGGTAATAAGCATTGTGTATAAGTTTCATAACATTTGGTTGAAGCAAACTAAAGTTAGAGAACGGAAACGAAAAATTCAACAATTTTTCCATTTGTAAAGGGCATAAGTCTAGAACGGTATAAGTGACGCCACCAAAATTCAAACTTGATCTGTGTTTTGTGGTTATAAGCATTGTGTATAAGTTTCATAACATTTAGTTGAGGCAAACTAAAGTTAGAGAACGGAAACGATAAATTCAGCAATTTTTCCATTTGTAAAGGGGCATAACTCTAGAACGGTAAAAGTGACGCTACCAAAATTCAAACTTGATCTCTGTTTCGTTGTAATAAGCATTGTGTATAAGTTTCATAACATTTGGTTCAGGCAAACTAAAGTTAGAGAACGGAAACCAATTTTGGGACGTACGTACATACGTACATACAGACGGACAAGGGTAAAACTTAATGCCCCCTCTGCTATGGCAGGGGCATAAAAATCTGATCTATCTGAAACAACACAACTGATATAGCAATTCTATTTATAGTTTTCCTCCATTCAATGCAAACTGTAGGAGAACTTGTTGACATATTTCCAGGGGTCCTGGTTCCCCCTTTATGGTTGAAAGTTTTTGTTATTTTCTCCCTTAATTTTATTTTTGGTTGACCCCATTGAAATTCCCCCTTTTAATGAAAATCCTGTTAAGACAGTCCCTCTTAATCAATCTGATCAAGAGATAAAGTAAGAAGTGCATTGCTGCATATAATTATAAATAATGCTACCAATTTTGGTTTATTTCAATGTAAGAAGTAAAAGATTTGGAACTAAGACCTCCACATATGTAGAATTTCCTGAAGTCCATGCTTTGCACATAGTATGAAGTAATTCAGTTAAGATTTTTTCCATTGCAATGAAAAACATATGTTTGTTGTATGAACAAACTTTCTGATATGCAATAATGATTAGTCCCACATCTTGGTATTGGAAACCTCAGGAATTAATTTTATAAAAATAAAAGAACAGAGTTCCAATGTCTCCCGCTTTGCACATATTTAATATTTCCAAGGGGCATAACTCTTTTAAAAAAGTCAAACGTCCATCATAGAACTTGTCCGAAATTTTGCTGATATTAACCTATATAGCATAAGTTTTATAAAAATCTGGCAAGAATTGTACCTGTGAGAGCGCTAACGAGGCCATTTTCCATTTTTCCAAGGGGCATAACTCTTTTAAAAAAATTCGATTGGCCACCATGATAGTACTTGTCTGAGATACTGCTGATATTAACCTATAGTATAAGTTTTATAAAAATCTGGCAAGAATTGTAACCATGAGAGCGCTAATGAGGTCATTTTGCATTTTTCCAAGGGGCATAACTCTTTTAAATAAACTGCTTTGCTGAGCACAGCTGGATACGCCCGCAGAGGTCCAACCCTGAACAGTTGGGGCAAAAATGGACACAATATTCAAGCTTGATACAGGTCTGAATTTGGATTGTAATTAAATAATTGACATATTATAGGTTTCTGAATAAATGTAGTCAAAGAACTTGAAATTGGTTATAGGAATTGAATTTATGTTCAATTATAGATTTCTTGCAGTTGTGCAATACACTGTGCTGTTGTGCAATTCTTAATAAATCTGTTGTCAGACTATAAACAAATAAAATTCAATTTCTTCTTAATGTCATATTTGAAATTTATGAAAATCCATAGGGAGATTACACCAATAGCTATAAATAATTCACCAAAGTTTCATGAGAACTGCTGAAAGCATTTTTGAGTTATTGTCCAAAAACTGGAAAATCCCCCCTTTTTTAATGAATAAAACCCCATAACTCAGAAATGTAAAATCTAAAAAAATTTATAAAATTCTAAAGAGAGCTTACATCAACAGATATAAACAATTCACCAAAGTTTCATGAGAACTGCTGAAAGCGTTTTTAAGTTATTGTCAGAAAACTGGAAAATCACCCTTTTTTTTATGAATAAAACCCTGTAACTTAGAAACGTAAAATCTAAAATTTATAAAAATCCAAAGGAAGCTCATATCAATAGATATAAACAATTCACCAAAATTTCTTGCAAGTTGGTGAAAGCATTCTTGAGTTAATGTCAGAAAACTGGAAAATCCCCCCTTTTTAATGAATAAAACCCCCAAATTCGGAAACGGTAAATCTGAAATTTATAAAAAACGAAAGGGAGCTCACGTCAATAGATATAAACAATTCACCAAAGTTTCATGCATATTGATTAAAGCTTTTTTGAGTTAATGTCTGACATGTTGACGACGGACGGTCAACGGTATACCATAATACCTTCCCGTAAACGGGCGTATAAAAAAGTTGATTGGCCAACATGATAGTACTTGTCTGAGATATTGCTGATATTAACCTATAGTATAAGTTTTATAAAAATCTGGCAAGAATTGTACCCGTGAGAGCGCTAACGAGGCCATTTTCCATAAATTTAATATTTGCCACAGGCATAACTCTTTTATAAAAAGTCGATCGGAAACCATTATAACACTTTTTAGAGATATTGCCGATATTAACCTATAGTATAAGTTTTACATAACTCTGGCAAGAATTGTACCTGTGAGATCGCTAACGAGGCCATTTAAAATAAATTTAATATTTCCAAGGGGCATAAGTCTTTTAAAAAAAGTCAATCGGCCACCATGATAGAACTTGTCCGAGATATTGCAGATATTAACTTATAGTATAAGTTTTATAAAAATCTGGCAAGAATTGTACCCGTGAGAGCACTAACAAGATGTGACGGACGGACGGATACAAGGACGCACCCCCGGTATTTCCATGTCCCCTGCAACGCGTTACCAGGGGGACAAAAAACTATGGAGGTTTAAAAATAAACATGTGAAATAATTCTGTCAAGATTCAACTGGAGTTTTCATACAGATGAACTTTTGTGATATACATAACAACACAACAGAAGGGACAATACGTCTCCCTGCATATGTGGGACAGAAGTAAAAAGACAACTGATATACCAAACTTTGACAAAGCATAACTATGACATACTAAACTAGAAGCTGTAAAGAGCCAGTATTGCTCACCTAGGTCTATGTGCATATTCAACAATGGGCTGTCTCCAACATTGTAGACTAGAATAGAATTCATGACAAAAGTCTCTTTTTTTTGCTCTAGTATTGCTTATAATTCTTTCTGTTTACAGTTTATCTATCTTCTTTAGTATTTTCTCAAAACATAGAAAAGGGTAAAAAAATACTCCTATCAAGAGTCTATTAACAAGTCTGCAAAATTTAATTTATTTGTAGATCTTGTCTTGCTGATATTTTTGCTATTTAAAGTGTCTATCTATCTATTACAGTTTTCAAGATAATAGCCAAATACACCAAAAATAGGTGAAAAATGTCACTAAAGGGTCATAATTCCAATAAAGAGTCGATTAACAATTTAGGCCATACAAATTTTTGTAAATCTTGTCTAGCTGATCATTTTTGCTCATCTTATTTTATATCTGTATGACTCAAATCTATGGCAGGTTCCAAATCTATGGCAGATTCCTAATATATGGCAAATATGACGTTACAAACGACAAACAAATCAAATCTATGGCAGTTTTTTGTTTTCTCCAAATCAATGGCAGATCTTGTAATTTTCCGGGAAAAAGAGTCACATATAACGTCACAATTAAATAACGCCATATTGCGTAGTCGCTGCTGCTAAGGATGGTGGAACCCATAGATTTGAACACCATTTTATATAGATTATTTTTTTTATTTGTAGAATGTAAATCAAAAACAGATATTTAACACGGGGCTCACATATTTTTACAAACAAATACACAGGGAAACACTTTCAGCTTTCCCTCTAGAACAATTTGTCGATGGTGTGACCTTTTAATCACAGGAGGGACAATATATGCTGTACCGTCCGAATCCCGCGATGAAGAAAGGCACCGCTGTTTTAGTAGAGGAAAGGAGTTATAATAAATATTTTAGCGTCTACGGCTGGCAAAGTATATAAAGTGAGAGATGAAATTACAGGATATACCACTTTGACTTAAATCGACATCAGTTAAAAAAGATTAATTAACGCTCAAATAAATATTATGTGAAAAGTCAAACTGTTTAATTCTTTTTATAGAATAAAATGCTCCGCTGGGCGCAGCTTGATGCGACCGCAGAGGTCGAACCCTGAACAGTTGGGGCAAGTATGGACACAACATTCAAGTTTGATACAGCTCTGAATTTGGATTGTGATTAAATATTTGACACAGCATAGGTTTCTGACACAGAATGAATGTGGTCTAAGAACTTAAAATTTTTATTTACCTATTATGGTCCAATATCCAAAATCTAAATACATGGTTAGATTCAGCACATCAGAGAATCTAAAGAATTCAATTTTTGATGAAATCAAACAAAGTTTAATTTTGGACCCTTTTGACCTCAATGTGGACCAATTTGATAATGGGGCCCAAAAATCAAAATACATGGTTAGATTCAGCATATCAAAGAACCCCATATATTCAATTTTTGTTGAAATCAAACAAAGTTTAATTTTGGACCCCAACTTGGACCAACTTGAAAACTGGGCCCATAATCAAAAATCTAAACACATGTTTAGATTCAGCATATCAAAGAACCCCAAGAATTCAATTTTTGTTAAAATCAAACTAAGTTTAATTTTGGACCCTTTGGACCTTAATGTAGACCAATTTAAAAAACGGGACCCAAAATTAACAATCTAAATACATTGTTAGATTTGGCATATCAATGAACCCCAATAACTCAATTTTTGATGAAATAAAACAAAGTTTACTTTTGGACCCTTTTGACCCCAATATGAACCAATTTGATAGCAGGGCCCACAAATAAAAAATCTAAATACATGGTTAGATTCAGCATATCAAAGAACCCCATATATTCAATTTTTGTTGAAATCAAACAAAGTTTAATTTTGGACCCCAATTTGGACCAACTTGTAAACTGGGCCCGAAAACAAAAATCTAAATACATGTTTAGATTCAGCATATCAAAGAACCCAATATATTCATTTTTTGTTAAAATCAAACTAAGTTTAATTTTGGACCCTTTGGACCTTAATGTAGACCAATTTGAAAACTGGACCCAAAATTAAAAATCTAATTACACGGTTAGATTTGGCATATCAAAGAACCCCAATAATTCAATTTTTGATGAAATAAAACAAAGTTTAATTTTGGACCCTTTTGACCTCAATATGAACCAATTTGATAGCGGGGCCCACAAATAAAAAATCTAAATACATGGTTAGATTCAGCACATCAAAGAACCCCATATATTCAATTTTTGTTGAAATCAAACAAAGTTTAATTTTGGACCCCAATTTGGACCAACTTGAAAACTGGGCCCGAAATCAAAAATCTTAATACATGTTTAGATTCAGCATATCAAAGAACCCCATATATTCAATTTTTTTAAAAATCAAACTAAGTTTAATTTTGGACCCTTTGGACCTTAATGTAGACCAATTTGAAAACTGGACCCAAAATTAAAAATCTAAATACACGGTCAGATTTGGCATAACAAATAAATAAATGTGGTCAAAGATTTTACAAATCTAATGCGCTAACTGTGCAATTAAAGATTACTTCTTGAAATTTTTCAATATTTGAAATTTGAAAAAAAATTAATATTTGAAGAATAATTCTTTTTAATTTCTGAAATCTGAAATGAGAAAAAATTGACCCCCCACAATTTCTTTTTACCCTTCCCCCCTTTTTCCCCCAAAAAATTCTTTCCCTCAAGATATGGTCATAATCTCAATTCAAATTTCCAATGGAATTTGCAACCATAATTACCCATTTAAATTTACCATAGTGCTAACTTAATCTATTTTATAATATAATTTAAAATATGGTGTCAAATCTTTCATATGGATTTTTTTGTAAAAAAAAAAAAGATGCAAAATTTGTAGATATTTTTACTGGTCTTCCTTTATAAATATGCATTTCTTTAAACATAATTTAAAAGCAGTGTAAGGGAAGTAATCAAAATGTTGTATGTGGATTACCCCCCTTACACTGTTTTAAATTGTCTTAATTGTTCATTAACCATTACTTTATACATAATTTAAAAGCAGTGTAAGGGAGGTAATTCAAATGATGTATTTGATTTATCTCCCTTACACTGCTTTAAATTATGTTTTGTACTAAAGTATTTGTTCATATAAAAATGCTTGTTTTGTGCCCCTTTTTTGGCCCCTAATTTCTAAAATTTTGAGGCAATTACCCCCAAAATCAATCCCAGCATTCCCTTTGTGATATGGAACCTTGTGGTACAATGTCAGAGAGATCCATACACTAACACACAAGTTATGTCTGGAAGTTACAAAAATGCTTATTTTTGGCCCCTAATTCCTTAACTGTTGGTACCATAACCCCCAAAATCAATCCCAACCTTCCTTTTGTGGTATAGAACCTTATGGTAAAATTTTATAGAGATCCATTCACTTAAACTAAAGTTAGAGTGCGAAAACCAATGTGTCTTCGGACGACGACAACGTCGATGCCAACGTCATTCCAATATACGATCGCAAAATTTTTTTGCGGTCGTATAAAAACTGCTTTCTTTTTGTTTTAAGGGACTTCCATTTTACTAGATGGTTTAATAAATGGATTAAACAGGTACCATGCACAGATTAGGAAATGCTTATTTTTCCGAGGCACATCATTTTAATCCTGAAATCTTTATTATGGTATATCACTTCTACATTATCTACTTTATGGTTGCCCTCACGATTTGGTTGACCATTATGGAATGTTTATCTCACAAATGTTTATAGACATGCTCCCGTTGTCGTTCATTTCCACTTGTTTGAGACAAGTCATTGATCGTATATGTACTGCCTTGTTCTCCATTTGCACAAAATCTGCCATAGATTTGGAAACAGCAAAAATCCGCCATAGATTAGGAAATTACAAAACTTGCCATAGATTAGGATTTTAAAAAATCTGCCATAGATTTGGGATGGCATGACGTCATATTTACCATAGATTTGGAATCTGCCATAGATCTGGAACCCACCATAGATTTGAGTCCTACATATCTATCTATTATAGTTTTTAATATATTAGGCGAAAAGGCAAAAAATTGTTAAAATTTGTCATTAAAGGGCAATAACTATGATAAGTTGTTGTCAGATGATTTCAAGTATGGTAACTTATTTGTAGATCTTGTCTTGCTGATCATTATTTAAGTTTCTCTCTATCTATAATTATTTTTCAGATATTAGGCTAAAACACAAAAAATTGGTAAACATCATCATAAACAGCATTAACTCCAATAAGGGGTTGTCAGATGATTTCAACAATGTAATCTTGGATGAAAATCTTGTCTTTTTTGCTCATTTAAGTTTCTATCTATCTATTATTATTTTTCAGATGTTAAAGAAAAGGCAAAAATTTTATAAAAATTATAATTAAGAGCAATAACTCCAATAGTCTTCCGATGATTTCGACTATGAAAAGTACTTATTTGTAGATCTTTTCTTGCTGATCATTTTTACTATTTTAAGTTTCTCTCTATCTGTTATAATTTTCAAGATAATAGGCAAAAATGAAAAAAAAAAATGGTAAAATTCGTCATTTAAGGGCAATAACTCCCATAATAAGTTGTCTGACAATTCTGATGTAAATAAACAAGATCCCATCATTTTCAACATTTCTGCCCCTTTCAGATTTTCTCTATTCATAGCGGTTTTCAAGATAATAGACGAAACTTGCATTTTACCTTATGTTCTATATTTGTCCATGTTGACCATGTTGTTTGGCAGACAGGGTCATTGGACACATATATAAGTGATAAATCTTACAACTAAAAAATTCATTATGGGTTAACTAGTTCTTTAAGAACAAATACTTAATATCTTACCTCCAGATATTACTGTTTTTGCTGCAGTGAGTTCTGGACGATCACTTTTACTAAGTTCTTGGGATACATACTCTGACACATCATTTTTTACATCTGCAGATGGTGCTAAAGAGAAAAGACTTTTTGTTGTGTAATTCTATGACTAAGATGTTAACCAGTATTAAATAAACTGCTTCGCCGTGTGCAGCTGGATACGACCACAGAGGTCCAACCCTGCACAGTTAAGGCAAAAATGAACACAATATTCAAGCTTGATACAGGTCTGAATTTGGATTGTAATTAAATATTTGACACATTATAGGTTTCTGACACAGAATAAATGTAGTTAAAGAACTTGAAATTGGTTATATGATTTGAATTTATATTCAATCGAAGATTTCTTGCTGTTGTGCAATACACTGTGCTGTTGTGCAATACACTGTGCTGTTGCGCAATACTTAGTAAATCTGTTTGTAGACTATATACAAAGAATTAGTAAAATAAATTGTGACCCAAATTTTTTTGGGGGAAAATTGATAATTTCTTAAATCTTGAGGAATAGCATTAAATGAACGCAATTTTTTTGCGGTCGTATAAAAACTGTGTCAAATCATCAGATAGTTTACATGAATATATAAGATGTACTTTGAGCTATTCCTTACTAATTAAAATCCTGTTCAACATTGTTCTTTTATTTAATAAAACTTTCATATATGTGCATAACATTCAAAAGATATTTATAATAAATGTTTTCAGCAAACAGGAAGAAGACCATTGAAGGAACTGAAAACATATCACATGGTATAGCATAACTTGACAGAGCCTGGTGCCATTTATCTAGAAGCTATGACTTGCAGTTGATTAGAAATGCTACAGAAATATGCTATGGACAGAGGGATGTAGGGACAGACAGACAGAGAGATGTAGGGACAGACAAACAGAGGGATGTAGGGACAGACAGTCAGAGGGATGTAGGGACAGACAGACAGACAGACAGAGGGATGTAGGGACAGACAGACAGAGGGATGTAGCGACAGACAGACAGAGGGTTGTAGCGACAGACAGACAGAGGGATGTAGCGACAGACAGACAGGGGGATGTGGGGACAGACAGACAGAGGGATGTAGGGACAGACAGAGGGATGAAGGGACAGACAGACAGACAAAGGCAAACCAGTAGAACCTCTCCTTTGGAGTGGGGAAATAATAAAATATGAAAAGTTTTTTGGACTCATCAAAAGTTGAACTGTACAATATTGGCTGGCTGCATAATTATTGTTCTTAGCAAAGGAAATGTATATGTAAACTCATTCTCAACATGATGTTAAAGTAAATTTGGTTGCAATTGGCATATTTTACAGATCTATGACATAAATTATGTGCATATAATATAACATCATTCTTGTTTATTCACAATAATTACAATTCTAAATTCAAAAATAAAATGCTCCGCAGGGCGCAGCTTGATACGACCGCAGAGGTCGAACCCTGAACAGTTGGGGCAAGTATGGACACAACATTCATGCTTGATACAGCTCTGAATTTGGATTGTGATTAAATATTTGACACAGCATAGGTTTCTGACACAGAATGAATGTGGTCTAAGAACTTAAAAATTTTAAATTGGACATTCACCTTTTATGGTCAAATATCCAAAATCTAAATACATGGTTAGATTCAGCATATCAAAGAACCCCAAGAATTCAATTTTTGATGAAATCAAACAAAGTTTAATTTTGGACCCTTTTGACCTCAATGTGGACAAAGTTGATAACGGGGCCCAAAAATCAAAAATCTAAATACATGATTAGATTCAGCATATCAAAGAACCCCATATATTCAATTTTTGTTGAAATCAAACAAAGTTTAATTTTGGACCCCGATTTGGACCAACTTGAAAACTGGGCCCATAATCAAAAATCTAAATACACGGTTAGATTCGGCATATCAAAGAACCCCAATAATTCAATTTTTGATGAAATCAAACAAAGTTAAATTTTGGACCCTTTGGACATCAATGTGGACCAATTTAAAAACGGGGCCCAAAATCCAAAAACTTAATACACGGTTAGATTCAGCATATTAAAGAACCCCAAGAATTCAAGAATAAAACCCCATTGAAATTGATCAAGAAATAAGCAATTTATACGAAGTATCTTCTTTTGCACAATACTGTGCAATTGAATATTTCTTGCTATTGCGCAATACTGTACAATTGACAATTTCTTGCTATTGCGCAATATTGTGCTATTGGATATTTCTTGCTATTGCGCAATACTGTGCAATTGAAGATTTCTTGCTATTGCGCAATACTGTGCAATTGAAGATTTCTTGCTATTGTGCAATACTGTGCAATTGAAAATTTCTTGCTATTGCACAATACTTATTATATAATAATTTACACATCCTGTTTGGTGTGTATCTCCTACCATATCATTATTATGTGCTTTTAAATGTAAATCAGAAAAAACCAACTTTAAATGGAAAATTTTAAAAGAAAAAAAAAAATGAAAAAAAGAAAAAAAAAGAAAAAAAAAATCCCCCCCCCCAAATTTTTTGAACCCCCTTATGATTCATTACCCCCAAACTCAATCCCAGCTTTCCCTTTGTGGTATGGTACATTGCAGTACAATTTCAGAGAGATCCATACACTTGAACACAAGTTATTGTCTGGAAACTAGAAAAATGCTTATTTTTGGCCCCTTTTTGGCCCCCAATTCCTAAACGTTTCGGGCAATTATCCCCAAACTCAATTCCAGCTTTCCCTTTGTGATATGGAACCTTGTAGTACAATTTCAGAAATATCCAAACACTTACACACAAGTTATTGTCATGAAACTAGAAAAATGCTTGTTTTTTGCCCCTTTTTTGGCCCCTAATTCCTAAAATTTTGAGGCAATTACCCCCAAAATCAATTACAGTCTTCCCTTTGTGATATGGAACCTTGTGGTACAATATCAGAGAGATCCATACACTTACACACAAGTTATTGTCTGGAAGTTACAAAAATGCTTATTTTTGGCCCCTTTTTGGCCCCTTATTCCTTAACTGTTGGTACCATAACCCCAAAATCAATCCCAACCTTCCTTTCGTGGTATTGAACCTTATGGTAAAATTTTATGGAGATCCATTCACTTAAACTAAAGTTAGAGTGCGAAAACCAATGTGTCTTCGGACGACACCGACAACGACGACGACAACATCATACCAATATAAGACCAAAAAATTTTTAATTTTTGTGGTCGTATAATAAATCTATTTTAACTACTTAAGAAGTCTTAAAAAATAATTAAATACATAAGATATATGTTGAACAATCTAAGACATTCTGTTAATTTTAGATATTCAAATATCAAGAATATTTTGTAGACCTTAAATAATTCCCAATATTTACCATTTTCTGAGGCAGCATTCCCACCTTCTAAGGCAGCAGCTTCAAATGCAGTCCCTCTGACAGATATTATCTTTAAACTGTCTTTAGACTTCAGTGTTTGGATGGCATTACCTACATAACATTACAAATACACATCATCGTCTCTATGTATGTAATTTTTGTATTTGCACAACCTAAATGTATGTACCAGTGGTTGCTTACCATATAAAGTCTTGTTAGCAACACAATCATTATATTTCTGGTTTATTTATGGCATAAAAAATATTGATTACGGTAATCAACATGGTTATTTTACTGAGAAACAGACCAAATCCTGAAACTAAATCTGACAACTGATGAAGTTAAGGCCAAACAGTACAGATGAATATATTCTCCTCACAACAAATCTACATAAGAAACATTGTTAAAACACACCTTCATCCTGCTTATTTAACATAAATACTGGAGCATGATAAAATGAGGCCAAGGTCGAAATACAATGATTTGGTAACAAGATATCATCATGAACAAGCTCTGTACAATTAATACACAGGACTAAAGATAAAAATATACACCTTACTACACAACTGCACCCGATTCTAAATCTTGTACATTCAAATCTTATATTCATAGACAAAATGTGCCATTCCAAATATAAACTTCATCAAATTTTACAAATATAAGCTTTCCATTTGTATTCTGATGTAAAAATTATATTACATGTATCAATAATACAATAATGCCAATGTTATATGTTTAGTCTTATTTCATTGGTGAGTGTCATGGAAACCAAGACATGTATACATCTATAAACCAATTTTATGACTCATGAGCTGTATAATATTTTTGGTCTGAATGATGCTCAGTTTGCTTGAAAAATGAAAAATAACCATACCTGCATAAATAGTTCTTATAAATGTTTCTTTGTCTTTTATACCAATTATATCAGAGATAGGGGATACATCAAGTTTGGCAGCTAACCGAGGTAACAAACCCTATTAAAATAAATTTATAATCAGATATGTTCAATGTAATTCATGTATTATAAAATTAAATTAGTGATTGGCATTATTCAATCTACATTCAATATTTGCAGATACATGCTACTAAAAGTCATTTGTTCTCTTAATAATCCAAATTTCTAGCTTACAATATATTCTGTCTAAATAATCCAAAAAATTCTTAATTATAAAGAATTAATGTATCAACCTACACTTACAGAGAGTGGAGTTACTTTTAGTTTTATCTAACCAATGTAAAGGTGATCCTTTCCCGTCTCAGACTTTGATTTTAGAATTCCTCATAATCATATTCCTATCATAATTAATGAGAAATTGGACTTCTTTTCTCTTTATATTGTTAATTTTCCTTTCTGTAAGATGGTGATGAACTCTTGTCTCATTCTTATTAAGTATAGATTTATAAAATGGATCCGTTGCCTTGCATATGCATGAAATATTTGCAACTTGTTAACCAATCCCTTAGTCACATATGCACCTGTTTATAGAGACATTTCAGTAAAAGAGGAAGGACACCAATAAAAGATGCTAAGAAAGCCTACTGAAAATAGTCAGAGTAATGACATTTGTTTCTCTAATCATCCTATCAAATGTTTGATCATGAATTTTACTAAAGATCTTCTAAATTTATACATGGTTGCACTTATATGTGCCAACACATGCAGAACAACAAAGAATATCTAATTTGTATAAAACTTAAATGTGTTATGAATTAGGGTAAGTGAACCAATTTTTTATGAATAAAAAGTAAAGGAGGACAAGTACAAATGTTTAGATCAGAAAGAATAAGAGAAAATATATGACACATTATTCAGCACTGATGAGGTACTGTTAAGGGGTAAACTTTTACTATAATCAGATAGTATAACACAAGAAAATGAAATTTAGCTAAAGAAAACAATAATAATAAACTTTAAAGGCTGTGGATTGTGCATTAGGTCATGTTCTAGAAAACATGTTTTGAAGTAATGTTTTGTTACCTTTCCCATTGCTGTCGCTCCAGCTAATATATGACTAAAGTTGAACTGTTTCTGTGTGGCCAACAATAAAGGGGTTAATGACTCTGTAGAAAAGAAGCATACAGTTCATAAGAAATCTCAAATTCATTATACACATGCAGTCAACTTAAACACTACATGTAAATAAAAGTAGATGTGGGGTAAATGTGAACAATAAAATTCAGAATACTAACAGAAAATATATACATAAATGTATCTAATACTGCATCATATTTGCAATTATAAATCCACAACAGATTTTACTTCAAAGTAGTGCAATTTTTCTCCAATTGATGTGTCATCTGTCATTCAATTTAAAAGAAGATTAATAAAGTTAATATCATTTGAAGGTGAAGAAAAGAGTAAAGCATAACATAAAACAATAATATATGATTATTGGGACAAACTTTAACAAAGCAAATAGCAATGCCAACTTATAGTGAAAGTTGTTTAATGTTTTAAACAATCAGGTGATACAATCTTTTACCTGTGATTAAACAATCAGGTGATACTATCTTTTACCTGTGAAAGTCTCTCAGACATTAATATTCCCTCTTCCCTCACATCAATCATATGGATAAACCAAATTGATTTGAACTGGTTCAAAATTTGATCCATTATTAAAGATTAAGAAATGTCTTTATCCAGACAGCAGCAAATGATCCTATTCTGGTTATATTTTACCACTTATTGCAAATTGTTATATAGTGTAGTCAATGTATTAGTGAGAGTTTAAACATAATCTAATAAAATGCTCCGCAGGGCGCAGCTTGATACGACCGCATCGGTCGAACCCTGAACAGTTGGGGCAAGTATGGACACAACATTCAAGCTTGATACAGCTTTGCATTTGAATTGTGATTAAATATTTGATACAGCATAGGTTTCTGACACAGAATGAATGTGGTCTAAGAACTTAAAAGTTTTAAATTGGACATTCACCTATTATGGTCCAATATCCAAAATCTAAATACATGGTTAGATTCAGCATATCAAAGAACCCCAAGAATTCAATTTTTGATGAAATCAAACAAAGTTTAATTTTGGACCCTTTTGACCTCAATGTGGACAAAGTTGATAACGGGGCCCAAAAATCAAAAATCTTAATACATGGTTAGATTCAGCATATCAAAGAACCCCATATATTCAATTTTTGTTGAAATCAAACAAAGTTTAATTTTGGACCCCGATTTGGACCAACTTGAAAACTGGGCCCATAATTAAAAATCTAAATACATGTTTAGATTCAGCATATCAAAGAACCCTAAGAATTCAATTTTTGTTAAAATCAAACTAAGTTTAATTTTGGACCCTTTGGACCTTAATGTAGACCAATTTGAAAACGGAACCAAAAATTAAGAATCTAAATACACGGTTACATTCAGCATATCAAAGAACCCCAATAATTAAATTTTTGATGAAATCAAACAAAGTTTAATTTTGGACCCTTTGGACCTCAATGTGGACCAATTTAAAAACGGGGCCCAAAATCCAAAAACTAAATACACGGTTAGATTCAGCATATTAAAGAACCCCAAGAATTCAAGAATAAAACCCCATTGAAATTGGTCAAGAAATAAGCAATTTATACAAAGTACATGTATCTTCTTTTGCACAATACTGTGCAATTAAATATTTCTTGCTATTGCGCAATACTGTACAATTGACAATTTCTTGCTATTGCGCAATATTGTGCTATTGGAAAATACTTGCTATTGCGCAATACTGTGCAATTGAAGATTTCTTGCTATTGCGCAATACTGTGCAATTGAAGATTTCTTGCTATTGTGCAATACTGTGCAATTGAAAATTTCTTGCTATTGCACAATACTTATTATATAATAATTTACACATCCTGTTTGGTGTGTATCTCCTACCATATCATTATCATTTGCTTTTAAATATAAATCAGAAATAACCAACTTATAATGGAAAATTAAAAAAAAAAAAAAATCCCCCCCCCCAATTTTTTGAACCCCCTTATGATTCATCACCCCAAAACTCAATCCCAGCCTTCCCTTTGTGGTATGGTACCTTGCAGTACAATTTCAGAGAGATCCATACACTTGAACACAAGTTATTGTCTGGAAACTAGAAAAATGTGTTTTTTGGCCCCTTTTTGGCCCCAAATTCCTAAACGTTTAGGGCAATTACCCCCAAACTCAAACCCAGCTTTCCCTTTGTGATATGGAACCTTGTAGTACAATTTCAGAAAGATCCATACACTTACACACAAGTTATTGTCCTGAAACTAGAAAAATGCTTGTATTTTGTCCCTTTTTGGCCCCTAATTCCTAAAATATTGAGACAATTACCCCCATCATCAATCCCAGCCTTCCCTTTGTGGTATGGTTCCTTGCAGTACAATTTCAGAGAGATCCATACACTTGAACACAAGTTATTGTCTGGAAACTAGAAAAATGCTTATTTATGGCCCCTTTTTGGCCCCCAATTCCTAAACGTTTCGGCAATTACCCCCAAACTCAATTCCAGCTTTCCCATTGTGATATGGAACCTTGTAGTACAATTTCAGAAAGATCCATACACTTACACACAAGTTATTGTCATGAAACTAGAAAAATGCTTGTTTTTTTCCCCTTTTTTGGCCCCTAATTCCTAAAATTTTGAGGCAATTACCCCCAAAATCAATCCCAGCATTCCTTTTCTAATATGGAACCTTGTGGTACAATGTCAGAGAGATCCATACACTAACACACAAGTTATGTCTGGAAGTTACAAAAATGCTTATTTTTGGCCCCTAATTCCTTTACTGTTGGTACCATAACCCCCAAAATCAATCCCAACCTTCCTTTTGTGGTATTGAACCTTGTGGTAAAATATCATAGAGATCCATTCACTTAAACTAAAGTTAGAGTGCGAAAACCAATGTGTCTTCGGACGACGACGACGCCAACGTCATACCAATTACGACCACAAAATTTTTTTTTCGGTCGTATAAAAATTACAGAAGAGAATTGCAAGAATAATATCAGATACATATTATATTACTCCTTCTTCAGCTGTTATGTAAACAATTAATCTGGACAACACTTGAATTATTGGGTTAATTTTTTATTGGTTCAAGTTAAATTTGTTTTAACCATTTCTATATTTTCACTTCCCCTGAGAATGAATACAAAATAAATTTTAATGATGACTTTTGGTCTCACATCATTAAGTTAGTATTTACCTGGAAGAAATCCTTTAAATGCCTCATTGTCTGCCAATAATACCTTACTGACACCTGGAATTTTACTGACTTCTTCTGCAACCTGTTCATATAAAATGTGTAGAATACATAAATGGCATGGAAGCCACCAACACTGTGGTAGCATTTTCCTATAACATGGATTATGAACTCTCAGACTCTCAATCTCATTAACCCAAAACCTTATAATCAAAATTTATCAATACAAAAATTTACCTGATATATTGTAGTACAGATCTATAATTAATATCAAATTTCATGAGAATTTTAAAAAGAGGAGAAAAGTGGTTGATCACACATACTTTGTGCATGCCATAGGTTAAGCAATGTAGCTTATGTATTTATCTGTTTATTGAGCATATTCAAACCAAAAATTTCCCAATATTGAATCTCCCTTTTCTGAACATTCAAACAAATGTAATATTAAAAAAATTCCTCCTGCAAATGATGTTTTCATTTCACGTTGTGCCTATTTAATTTTCAAGGTCTTTTGTCATGCATGTGAAATACAGTGACTTCCTTAACAGACCAAAAAATCTTCTTTCAGAGAATACTCAGATACAATTGTTATTGAAATATGTTTCCCTAATATCTGCTTTGATTTATAAAAATACAGGATTTCAGTACAATGTGTGCTGCATGTGAAGATGCTTACCAAGTTACCCTTTATAAGAACTTTTATACGAGTTTGTATTGACCAAACGTGTTGTTTTGCAATAAATAAACTCATCATAGATACCAGGATTAAAATTTGAATGCCAGACGCACGTTTCGTCAACAAGACTCATCAGTGATGCCCCAATAAGAAAATTTTAAAAGGCCACATAAAGTATGAAGTAGAAAAGAATTGATGACCCAAAATTCCAATAAATTTGACTTACTGGGGGTGTTTTAATTTGTATTTTTCTAAGGATACATTCAAATTGGTTATCTTCTCATCATTATTTGAAGTACTTATAAACAACAAATTGACTATCCATTGCATTGAGAGCCTGGGATTTTATGATAAAGAGTTAAACAAAATGTATAATCAAAGTGCTTGTGAGCACTGAAGGTAAAGATTGCTTTCATTTTGCAATTTGTGAATTATTATATAAAACATTGAATTGTATTTTGCTGGGGAAATTAAAAATTTGAGTTGGAGTTATCTTCCTTTGTTCATGATTGTACATTTATAGTTGAACCTATTTGTATAACAGATTCATACACCATGCATTACTTATGTAATTTTTAATAAAAAAATGTATGGTAATTCAAATACACATTATATAGTGTCTTAAATATTAAAATATAACATATCATAAATAAATTGCATGACAGTAAATAATGATCACTTCATTGCACTATTTTGTTTGAATAATCAAAGGTAGTGATAAACCTTGGAAGATATAGATATCAAGTCAGTACCATAGGGTTTTGATTGCATTTTGTGCAATCTTTACCCAAAAACGTACCTTTGAACATTGTGTACCAGCAACCAGACATGTTATATCACCTCCTATTTTATTGGCAGCTGTTATTGTATTCAGGGTGATAGGTATAAGTTTCTGATTGTCATGCTCAGCAATAACCAGTGTACTCTGATACCGGCCAAACAAATATACCTTTAAGAACAAAAAACATATATTATATATTGCAGTATGCTCCAAATTACAGTAATATCTTCATTTTAAAAATGGCAGGTACATGTACATTAGTATGCTTGAATACATTGTAGTTACTTTAAAAATTCAGGATGTCAATCCTACTTAGTACAATACTGAAACTGGATGCCCAGTCGATCAACTTGATCTTTGTGCACTTTCAAAAATGGCCACTCTTCAGCATTGTAGACTAGAATATAATTCATGACTAAAATCTTTTTGTTGATCCTGTCTTGATGAAGATTTTACTGTTTTGAGTTTCTATCTTATATAGTTTTTGCCCATAATGAAATAAAATGCTTCGCTGGGCGCAGCTTGATACGACCGCAGAGGTCGAACCCTGAACAGTTGGGGCAAGTATGGACACAACATTCAAGCTTGATACAGCTCTGAATTTGGATTGTGATTAAATATTTGACACAGCATAGGTTTCTGACACAGAAAGAATGTGGTCTAAGAACTTCAATTTTTTTAATTTACCTATTATGGTCCAATGTCCAAAATCAAAATACATGGCTAGATTCAGCATATCAAAGAACCCCATATATTCAATTTTTGTTGAAATCAAACAAAGTTTAATTTTGGACCCCAACTTGGACAAACTTGAAAACTGGTCCCATAATCAAAAATCTAAACACATGTTTAGATTCAGCATATCAAAGTACCCCAAGAATTCAATTTTTGTTAAAATCAAACTAAGTTTAATTTTGGACCCTTTGGACCTTAATGTAGACCAATTTAAAAAACGGGACCCAAAATTAAAAATCTAAAAACACGGTTAGATTTGGCATATCAAAGAACCCCAATAATTCAATTTTTGATGAAATCAAACAAAGTTTAATTTTGGACCCTTTTGACCTCAATATGAACCAATTTGATAGCGGGCCCACAAAATAAAAAATCTAAATACATGGTAAGATTCAGCATATCAAAGAACCCCATATATTAAATTTTTGTTGAAATCAAACGAAGTTTAATTTTGGACCCCAACTTGGACCAACTTGAAAACTGGTCCCATAATCAAAAATCTAAACACATGTTTAGATTCAGCATATCAAAGAACCCCAAAAATTCAATTTTTGTTAAAATCAAACTAAGTTTAATTTTGGACCCTTTGGACCTTAATGTAGACCAATTTAAAAAACGGGACCCAAAATTAAAAATCTAAATACACAGTTAGATTTGGCATATCAAAGAACCCCAATAATTAAATTTTTGATGAAATCAAACAAAGTTTAATTTTGGACCCTTTTGACCTCAATATGAACCAATTTGATAGCAGGCCCACAAATAAAAAATCTAAATACATGGTAAGATTCAGCATATCAAAGAACCCCATATATTCAATTTTTGTTGAAATCAAACAAAGTTTGATTTTGGACCAACTTGAAAAGTGGGCCAAAAATCTAAAATCTAAATACATGTTTAGATTCAGCATATCAAAGAACCCTATATATTCAATTTTTGTTGAAATCAAACAAAATTTAATTTTGGACCTCAACTTGGACCAACTTGAAAACTGGGCCCATAATCAAAAATCTAAACACATGTTTAGATTCAGCATATCAAAGAACCCCAAGAATTCAATTTTTGTTAAAATCAAACTAAGTTTAATTTTGGACCCTTTGGACCTTAATGTAGACCAATTTAAAAACGGGACCCAAAATTAAAAATCTAAATACACGGTTAGATTTGGCATATCAAAGAACCCCAATAATTCAATTTTTGATGAAATCAAACAAAGTTTAATTTTGGACCCTTTTTACCTCAATATGAACCAATTTGATAGCGGGTCCACAAATAAAAAATCTAAATACATGGTTAGATTCAGCATATCAAAGAACCCCAAGAATTCAATTTTTGATGAAATCAAACAAAGTTTAATTTTGGACCCTTTTGACCTCAATGTGGACAAAGTTGATAACGGGGCCCAAAAATCAAAAATCTAAATACATGGTTAGATTCAGCATATCAAAGAACCCCATATATTCAATTTTTGTTGAAATCAAACAAAGTTTAATTTTGGACCCCGATTTGGACCAACTTGAAAACTGGGCCCATAATCAAAAATCTAAATACATGTTTAGATTCAGCATATCAAAGAACCCTAAAAATTCAATTTTTGTTAAAATCAAACTAAGTTTAATTTTGGACCCTTTTGACCTTAATGTAGACCAATTTGAAAACGGAACCAAAAATTAAAAATCTAAATACACGGTTAGATTCGGCATATCAAAGAACCCCAATAATTCAATTTTTGATGAAATCAAACAAAGTTAAATTTTGGACCCTTTGGACCTCAATGTGGACCAATTTAAAAACGGGGCCCAAAATCCAAAAACTTAATACACGGTTAGATTCAACACATTAAAGAACCCCAAGAATTCAAGAATAAAACCCCATTGAAATTGATCAAGAAATAAGCAATTTATACGAAGTATCTTCTTTTGCACAATACTGTGCAATTGAATATTTCTTGCTATTGTGCAATACTGTACAATTGACAATTTCTTGCTATTGCGCAATATTGTGCTATTGGATATTTCTTGCTATTGTGCAATACTGTGCAATTGAAGATTTCTTGCTATTGCGCAATACTGTGCAATTGAAGATTTCTTGCAATTGTGCAATACTGTGCAATTGAAAATTTCTTGCTATTGCACAATACTTATTATATAATAATTTACACATCCTGTTTGGTGTGTATCTCCTACCATATCATTATTATTTGCTTTTAAATATTAATCAGAAATAACCAACTTAAAATGGAAAATTTTAAAAGAAAAAAAAAAAGAAAAAAAGAAAAAAAAAAGAAAAAAAAAAATCCCCCCCCCCCAAATTTTTTGAACCCCCTTATGATTCATCACCCCCAAACTCAATCCCAGCCTTCCCTTTGTGGTATGGTACCTTGCAGTACAATTTCAGAGAGATCCATACACTTGAACACAAGTTATTGTCTGGAAACTAGAAAAATGCTTATTTTTGGCCCCTTTTTGGCCCCCAATTCCTAAACGTTTCGGGCAATTACCCCCAAACTCAATTCTAGCTTTCCCTTTGTGATATGGAACCTTGTAGTACAATTTCATAAAGATCCAAACACTTACACACAAGTTATTGTCATGAAACTAGAAAAATGCTTGTTTTTTGCCCCTTTTTTGCCCCCTAATTCCTAAAATTTGGAGGCAATTACCCCCAAAATCAATCCCAGCATTCCCTTTGTGATATGGAACCTTGTGGTACAATGTCAGAGAGATCCATACACTTACACACAAGTAATGTCTGGAAGTTACAAAAATGCATATTTTTGGCCCCTAATTCCTTAACTGTGGGTACCATAACCCCCAAAATCAATCCCCACCTTCCTTTTGTGGTATTGAACCTTATGGTAAAATTTCATTGAGATTAATTCACTTAAACTAAAGTTAGAGTGCGAAAACTAATGTGTCTTCGGACGACGACGACGCCAACGTCATACCAATATACGACCACAAAAATTTTTTTGCGGTCGTATAAAAATTATTATAATTTATATCTTTAAAACGACGAAGATACCAATTCGGCTAGTTATTCTTATCAGATACTGAAATCTGAGTGATTGATCAGGTGTCAGAGTTTCCCAAGAGAACACATTTTGTTTGCTATAAAATCCTATGTTGAATAAGCACCAGACTCATTTAAAAATATAAGGAATTTATTTTAATTGTTTAACTGGGTAGTGATGAAATTTGAAAAAAAAGGCAGGACAGGAGTTTTGAGTAAAAAAAAAAGGCAGGATGAGCAACTTGGCAAAAAAAAAAGAAGGCAGGATGACATTTTTTGTAAAAGAAAGTCAACTAATGAAAAAAAAGGCAGGACCAAATAGAGTGAAAAATAAAAAGGCAGGACAGATAACAACTAAAAAAAATGCAGGACAAAATTTTTCATCCTAGCCCCCCACCATAAAAATCAAATGGTAGCTCCCTAAAAGTAATTTTGAGTTTCTGTATAAAATATTTCCAGCTTTTTCTTTTTTTTTTCCATATATATTTTGGTTTTGAATTCTAGTGTTTATATTTCATCATCAACATGTATTTTGTCACCTGCCTGGAATTATTATTTTTTTTATTGTATTTGACTGGCAAATAAGGAATTACCCTTATCCGTCCACGGAATCTGACCCGGTATTGTAATTGTCTTCATTTCCGGTTTATGGCATCCATTGTTTTTCAATTTTTTGTCAGTCAGATACGATTTTACTCGGATTTACACATTACTTTTGGCGATTTTCGGCATAAAGCTAGCGGTTGAACAAAATGAACATCGCTGTCATGAATAAGAAAGATGAAAATAAATTTTGAGATCGTTTGGGAATTTTGCTCCCAAAATTGAGAAAAATGTAGGGTATTTGCCATTGGGAATGGGTCCGAATACTAGACCCTGTGGAATGCTAGAAAAATCCATGCACTCCTTCATTATAAACATGTTACTGTAGTTTGTCTGAATTTTGTTGCCATTACCATTTGTAACCGGAGCTAGTTATCCTGTTTAGTTTTCATTGTAAATTTCTTTAGTGTTTCCAGGAACATATATATTGACGGGACTTGATACTACCTGATTGTAGTCGATTTTATCGTCGTGCCATAGTTAATAAAGATACGATACAGAAACGGACATGTGTTAAAAACGGACTCGCTATTATCCTAATAATTTCTGATATTATCAATAAAATGTCATTCAAACTAGTTTTATAGTGATGCTAGTGTATCAAACTTGTATTCTGTCACTTCAAATTTGTTAAAATCGCAAGCATTTCATCACAGAATTGTGCAGAATGCAAACCAGGTAATAAAAAAATGGCGGCCATTGCCGCGATGATTTACAAATTCCCAAACTATTATAAAACACTTCACATCAAATAAATCAAACTTATTTTGGTAATTTTATATGACAAAATATATCTACTAAATGATAAAACTTGTATTTATTTACAATTAGAGTTATGTGGTTTATTTGTTGAGCAGTTCTGATAGTTTTTCAGTCAGACGCTACCAAAATCCGTAAATCTTGGGAAGTCTCGGGGAGTCCGAGATTTTATCAATTTTATACTGAAAAGCGTATCAGATTCATTTCCCGTTAGATATACTGTTCCCAGGTGTTTCTGTGTAAATGTTGATATCCTTTTTTGTCCAAAGTTTAAAGATCGTTTCCCAAGCGTAAATATTATTATTTAAAATGAAAAAGGTGGAAAGTCCCATGACATTGCACAATTATGTTCCAAGGCTCAATGGCCACACATTTATTGTTAATGTGTTAGTGCCAAGGATTTGTCTTACTATACAAATCCTTATTAGTGCTAATAAAGTTATCGTATATTATAAAATACTGTATATGCATATATTTTATTTCTTTGCTTAGATTATGTTAGTATTAAATGATAATTATTATTTGTAAACTCTCCTTTTGGGACATTGACTAGAAAATGAGATATTTGATTTATATAATCTGATAATTTTACATAAACCAAAGGTCAAATTTGCAATTGACGCATTATCAACCTGTGTAAACAATATAAGCACAAAAAATAAAGATCACTTTTTGAAATGAAATGGTTTAAAAAAAAAAAGTATTATCGTTAGTTTACCGTCTGATTAACTAATTTTGTTCTGCAGCACCTCGAAAACATTTTTATGCAACAATATTTTTTTACTCCGGAAGTGATCCTACTGTTGAAATATTAAACCAAACGCGGACAGAAACGACTTCCCCCGTGAGGATCAAGATTGACTTGCTTCCCTGCTTGCTTCAAGTGCAAGATGCCAAAACCTCAACAGATAGATCATACCCCCGAAGCTAGCATAACTACACCAAAAGAAGACATTGCTAATGTTCCCAAATTTGGTTGGAGAGTAAACTTTGACCATGAATGCAAAGACAAATGTGATCCATTTGTAAAACCCAGACTCACCCACATTCCTGAATTAATTGGCCTTAGCTATAGGTAACAGTTGTACATTGTCAGGCAGTGTATTATACAACATATTATACAGAGTTCTTGTAGGAATTTTCTAGGATGAGCTCTGAGTCAATTTTATAAAAATTTTGTTGAGTCCAACCATTGAATTGATCCTGCTTGATTCCTATTCATTGCTGCAGTACCATTGTTGCTGGTTTAAGACTGGTGAGGTATTTCATTGAAAAGTGCAGTTGCGCACACATCAAAGCAGCATGCCGCTTTGGGCTAAATCAAGAAAGATCTATGTTTATTACAAAAAAAATTTGTGTGCTTCATTGCACCCCTTATTTGCTCCAGTGCTATGGTCCAGGGTGCACAACATTAACTTTAAAAGTTATAATTGGTAATTCATGAAATCTTCCCTTGTAAAGAATAAATTTTGTTTACTGATCAAGATGTAGATAGAAACTTATGTTAGGGATTTGATATGGATGTAAAAACTACAGAAATCTGTTATTTTCTATGTTACGTCCATCTATATTTCAAGGCATAATTAGCACATATTTCCTCTTTCTATACCGCTATGGCAACTTTTCTGTTTCTAACAAACTTGGACATTACATTTGCACAGAAAATTTACCCTATTATTGCAAGAATATGTCTCTTACATGAAGTCGACTTTCCACATGAATTTTGTATTTTTTCACATTTTTTGTCAAGTCACATATAAAAATAAGGTGATGTAGTACTGTATGATTGCTATCCATCAAAGTTCGAATTAAGTGGATGTAAGCAATCATAGGCAACCGTACAGCCTTCAACAATGACTTTTGGAGAGATAACATGTGACAAAAAAAAAGACCAATTTTCTGAAATATTCAATCATCTTTCATATAAGTCCAATATGGCCTTTGTATGAGCTATGGTGCGAATGCTCTATTCAATTGAACTTTTTCTTGGATAGTGTCTTTTTCATAAGTTTAGGGCTAAATTGCCTGAACTTGAAAGGGTTAAAGAACTCTTGCATCACCTCTTATTGGTCTGTAGGAGGTATGTTCATGATGTTGCAAGAAAAAATCATTACTTGAAATATTTGTCAATGGACATTGAAGCAAACAACAATTAATCTATATATCAGAAAGATGCAATTGAATGTCAAAAAGCTTAAAACTCATACATAGGACACAAAAAATAGACCTTACCTATTTGTTCTGTTGATTGTTACAGATATATGAAAGTATGGATAAAGCACAAAAGACAGGGAAGAATAATGTTTATAGATCATCTGAATCAAGTTACGCACAAGCCTATTTATGGTAAGTATTAACGGTAGACATAATTATTGATTAACTGAATCATAAAATTGAATGGACCAATGCATCAAGTGTGATATGGGGGCCTCAGTGTCTGAGTGGTCTAAGGAGTTCATCTACTGTTTCTCTAGTCTGTCAACACTGCGGTAGCGAGTTCGTACCTCTCACTTTGCAAGTGAGTTCAACTCTAATCTTAATTGACTTGGATTGTCAGTTTTCCTACTGAAGACCAGTGGTTCTCTTCAGGGACCCAGCCTTCCCAAAACCAATAAAAAACTGACCTTAGTATAGCTCATAGTTCTTAAAGTGGCATTTAACACCAAAAATCAATAAAGTGTGACAGGATATTTCTCCACTCTAAATAGTTAAATTTTTCCAATTTGAAGGCTTGCCAGGCTATTTAAATATTTCAAATTGAACTGTCCAGAGTGGAGATGCGTTGTATTGCATGAAATTCGATGGTGGATTAGGTTACTATAATGTTTTTTTTTCCATCGATCTTTTTTTCATGTCAACAGGTATGGTTACTTTTTTTTCGTGATGTCACAATAACATGCGAGATACATGTATTTGTCAATGAGCAAACAAATAACAAAAGTCATCAAAAGGTCACTTTTAAGCAAATTTGACAGGTCAATGTTTAACAATAAACCTAAAGTAAAGGTCAGAGGTCCTTTTTATACGACCGCAAAAAATTTTTTGGGATCGTATAATGGTATGATGTCGTCGTCCGAAGACACATTGGTTTCCGGACAATAACTTTAGTTTAAGTGAATGGATCTCTATGAAATATTTTAAGAAGGTTCAATACCACAAAAGGAAGGTTGGGATTGATTTTGGGGATGATGGTCCCAACCGTTTAGGAATAAGGGGGCCCAAAAGGGGCCCAAAACAAGCATTTTTCTAGTTTCAGGATAATAACTTGTGTATTAGTATTTCAATTGCTCTGAAATTGTACCACAATGTTTAATACCACAAGTAGAAGGTTGGGATTCATCTTAGGGGTTATGGGGCCAACAGTTTAGGAATTAAGGGCCAAAAAGGGGCCAAAAACAAGCATTTTTCTAGTTTCCAGACAATAACTTGTTTGTAAGTGTATGGATCTCTGTGACATTGTAACACAAGGGTATATATCACAAAGGGAAGTCTGGGATTGAGTTTGGGGTTAATTGCCTAAAACATGTAGGAATTAGGGGCCAAAAAGGGCCAAAAAGAAGCATTTTTCTAGTTTCCAGACAATAACTTGTGTTAAAGTGTATGGATCTCTCTGAAATTGTACTACAAGGTTCCATACTACAATGGAAAGGCTGGGATTGAGTAATGGGGTTATTGCTCCAAGGAGGATTTCAAAAAGTGGGGGGGGGGGGGGATTTTTTTTCCAATTTTTTTAGGTGATTCATATTTTTTTTTTTTAAATTTTCATATTTCGAATTTTCGAAAATTTTCGAGAAGAAATCTTCCATTGCACAGTATTGGGCAATAGATTTGAAAGATCTTTGACCACATTTATTTTGTGTCAGAAACCTACATTATGTCAAAAATTTGATCACAATCCAAATTCAGACAGTATCAAGCTTGAATATTGTGTCCAAATTTGGCCCAACTGTTCAGGGTTCGACCTCTGCGGTCGTATCAGGCTACGCTCAGCGAAGCATTTTATTAATAGGTGCTACTGCTACATACTATGTGCAGGTTCAGATTCTACATACAGTGTAAATATGCTCACATTTGATATTGTTGTTTCTCATTTGCTTCACATTATCATTTTTGTGTCTTTCAGAAGTTAACTTAGAATGGAAAAAACTAAGGGATAAATATGATGAAATACCACAAAATGTTGTAGGACTTTTTTTTTCAAGAAGAATTCTTTAAGTATACTTGTACGTAGTTTGCAGGTGGTCTTATAAGGGGAATAGGTTGCTGAATGGTTCAACCTTATATATCTAACATGTTATCTATTTGGCAATATAAGTTGTGGGCCAATTGACGGAAAGTTGTGTAGATATAATTTTATATGTTTATTACCAGGGGTTGAGGATTTTTATGATAATTATAATAATTCTGCAGATGTTTCATGATATCATACAGGCAGAGGTGGTCCAATTGGTGGCATGGATTATGGGACTGTTGGGTCTTGGATTGTAAGGAGAGTTCTTTATATTTACATATTTTACAGGCTGTCCTATAGGTGGTATAGGTTGTGGTACCATTGGTCGTGGCTACCGAGGGGAATTTTGTAGATTTCAGATGGTTCCAGGGATATATGAGCATACTATTGTTCCAGCAAATTCTGTAAGTACAATTATAATTGCAATATTTATGACCTGTGTCAAACTGAAGGAGAGGGGTATACTGTTGTACTTCTGTTTGCCATCTGTGTGTCCATCTGTCCGTTCCATAAAAGTTCTGTCACATTTTTCTAAGGAACTACATATCAGAACTTCCTGAAATTTGATGTCAGGTTTCATGTGAGCATGCTATACTGTGTAATGCGCTTTCACATCAATCGCTTAGCAACTTCTTGTTAACTGAATACTTTTATATTCTTACACAATATGACCATGTATGACGTTTTGTTGCATTTTTCTCAGGAACTATGAATTTGAACTTTCTGAAATTTGGTATCAAGCCTTTTTGAAAAGTATTTTGATGTGGAGCAAATATATGAAATAGGAAAATTGTAATTTCACCATAAAAAACATTAAGATATGAACCTATGAAAAATTGATGGTGAGACCTTAATTCTATAATATATGATCATGGTTAGAATTTTTATTAAGTATTAACTTCACTACACAGTAATTCAAGATAAGAGCTGCACGTTATAAAACACCATCCACATTGGACACTGGTTATATATGTTGTGAAAGCAAAAAGTATTTATGCATAAAGTTTGCTATCCTGTGGCCTTGTTTAGCTTACGGTACAGATTTTGCTTATTGCTTATTTTCGATGGTTATATGATGACCTGTAATTGTTTACATCTTTGTCCTTTGTATCTCATTGGCAATCATACCACATCTACTTATTTTCATATTATGTTTGTTTCATGTATTTATCTTTTTTTTGTAGTTCATCTTGTGTATACGAAAGAACAATAAAACTGTTTATCAAAAAGTCCTAACAGGAGGAAAAGGGAAGCACTTGAAATCATGGGAATGGGGATTTCCCAGACAGAATGCTACATACCATGCACTTTATCCTCGATCATGGACGGTATATGATATACCAGAGTTTAACCTCAAGCTTACATGTCGTCAAATATCACCTATCTTCCCTAATGATTACAAGGTAGGTTATAAACAGATTTTCCTAACTGACGTAGATCATTACTTGACAAACTTATATATGTTCTGTATTATTTATTATTATGAGAGGATCAAATTAGCAAGCAACAATCACTAGAGCAGAGTTACATGTGTATACATTTGCAAATTTAATTTAAAGAAATTATTCCTGTTTGAAACAATTAAAAAAGATCTGTTTTGTATTTCAGGATACTAGTTTTCAAATGGCAGTTTTTTATGGTCTGTAGAAAATTTGTTTGTAATTCAGGATACCAGTTTTCCAAAGGCAGTTTTTGTATGATCTGTAGAAAATATGTTTGTATTTCAGGATACCAGTTTTCCAATGGCAGTATTTTTATGGTCTGTAGAAAATATGTTAATGTTTCAGGATACCAGTTTTCCAAAGGCAGTTTTTGTATGGTCTGTAGAAAATATGTTTGTGTTTCAGGATACCAGTTTTCCAAAGTCAGTTTTTGTATGGTCTGTAGAAAATATGTTTGTATTTCAGGATACCAGTTTTCCAAAGGCAGTGTTTGTATGGTCTGTAGACAATATGTTTATGTTTCAGTATACCAGTTTTCCAATGACCTGGAGATCAATCTGTAGATATCTCTTCGGTTTGTCTGTTTCCGCCGAGAAGCCCGGTGGTTTTCTCTGAGTTCTTTGGCTTCCTCCACCATAATAACAGACTTCCCGGTGTCCTAACACACTCCCTTGGTGTTGGGTTGGTGATGGTCCATGGTGGTGGGTTGTATATAAGTAAGTAACACATCTCCATTAATCCTTATAGGGAGTGTACAGGGATTCCACTGTACCCTCGCAGCTCTCGAGGGGTGCTTCGCATATCGGAAGAATTTACATATATACATACAATGGCAGTTTTTGTATGGTCTGTAGAAAATATGTTTGTTTTTCAGGATACTAGTTTTCCAATGGCAGTTTTTGTATGGTCTGTAGAAAATATGTTTATATTTCAGAATACCAATTTCCAATGGCAGTTTTTGTATGGTCTGTTGACAATATGTTTGTATTTCAGGATACCAGTTTTCCAATGGCAGTATTTGTATGGTCTGTAGAAAATATGGGACAAGAATCATTAGATATCAGTATCACATTTACATTTAAAAATGGTAGAGGTGTGAAGGAAGATTGTAATCCTGGTAACTGGACTGAACCATTTGAAAGTGAGGCTGAGGGGCAGAAGGTTGTAGGAATGATGATCAGACAGAATATACGTGACATGAAATGTACATACGGTATAGCTGGCGCTTTCAAGGTATAAATTAATGCTTGTTGATAAATGATTCTAGAACACTTTGTGAGTACTAGTAAGAATAAGCCAAAATCACAAAATAAAACAAATGGAGAAGTTGTGTAAATTGCATACAAATTCATTGAGAGTGCTTTATATGTATTACAAAAGAATGACTTTGGATGTAAAACAGTGATGTCTTATTGTAATTCATTCATCAGTTATATGTTTGAAGGGGGGAAAAAAGAGAGAGAGAGCAGTCTCTTTGTAGTTTATACAGAGAGAGAGAGCAGTCTCTTTGTAGTTTATACAGAGAGAGAGAGAGAGCAGTCTCTTTGAAGTTTATACACAGAGAGAGAGCAGTCTTTTTGTAGTTTATACAGAGAGAGAGAGAGCAGTCTCTATGTTGTTTATACGTTGTTATAAAATACTATGAGAAGAAAGCAGAAATTTGTTATGAAGAATTTTTCTCAAAATCTAACATGGTGGATGTAAACAGACTTTGTGAAATCCAGATTTTCTCTTAAATCATGCTTGTAATACTGTATAATCCGTGTCTCTGTCTGGCAATTGGAAGACTTTGTATTATATATGCCCAAATTCAGTTATGTTTTAATTAAAGTCATAAAAAAATAGAATGACCTAAGTATCGATCAAATGGCATTTGGGTTTAATCAGTAGACATGCTGTTTTGAAATTTTGTAAAAAATTAACAACATTTTCAGGAAGAATATACTTATTGATTTCCTAGTCGAATAAAAATTGATAATTTCACCTTTGAAAGAAGTCCTATAATTTTAATCCTCTGACATCATACAACAAGCGGTGTTTTTGAAAAACACATGCCTGAAGAACAATGATGAATTAATGTGTTGTGTTTACTCTTTGAATATCTTTTGATATTTGAATTCTTGGATTAGCTATTTTATAACTATTTGCACAACTCCTTGCTATTTGTTAATCTTTATTTATTCCCCTTTATAGACTGGTGTAGATGTAAGTACAAAGTCACAGTTCAATCCTAAAGGATCAGGACAGGATTTATGGGAAGATCTCAGTGATGATGGAAAATTAAAATCAGCGACAGGTATTCAATTTTAATCGAATTATTCCCCCCAAAATAGCAGTAGTACTTCTCCTTCTATCACATAGAATCAAAGTCACATTATTTTGTCATACCTACACAGATTCAAGTTCACATTATTTTTTTCTGAGATTAATTTACATATTTTTATCGTACATCAGAATAGAAAATTATCATAATGGTTGAATACCTTACCAGTTATTGTCAGAGTTGTGTTTTAATATTCTTGAAAAGAAAGTCTGCTTAGAAAGGGCCAGTTACTGTCTTTTATGAATCAATCTACTAAATGATAGAAATTATTCCTTGATCAGAACTTTAACGTCACACTTTCTATAGCAAGAAGAGCACACATATCAGGTCAAATAAACCAAACACTTTGTCAGTCTTGTAAATGTATATGATAAATAGATTTAGAAGTTATTTTTTGTCTCTTAATTTGAATATCATGTTTCTTAAAAATAAAAGTTACCATATTTACTTTATACCAAAATGTCCCCAATTTATGAAACTGCATTGTGTTCCAAAAGAAAAATAACTTCTGCTAAACATAAGTTTACGTAGGATTTTGGTGATGGCCTCATGTGCAAGTATGCTTGAAGAGGACTAAGTAAGTAAATAAACAAAAGTTTGCTGGTAGTTTTGATTCTTTTGCTCAGTGTGTTTCAAAATTTGACAGATATTGATACTGACATGGTTGAGGGTCTAACTAAAAGAAATTATATAGCATTGCTAAGAAAACAAACAAAAATACAGTAAACAACAAATTGCTGGATACCTTCACTTGGTTGATATGCAAGACTTTGCCATTTTAGCATATGGAAAGGCACTTCAAAATTTGTATTTGGAAAAAGGAGGGCAGGCAACACATGTATTTCATACAAGACTCACTTCTCACATATTTTTAATTGTAGATCAAAACAAAGATCAGCCCATAGTCAATTGTAAGACACTTTACTCTGTCATGTTGAAGGTCTTACTGAATATTTTACAGTTTCTACTAAATCTAGTCCTACCGTCAAAAGGTAAGGACATGTATTACAGAACAGTACTTTACACTGTATTGTTAATGTTTTCTGTCATTTGTCCCTCAAATCAATGTTTACATGTTACAATGTATAACATTGACTTACTGTCTGTAGTTTTTAATGCCATGCATTGTCTGTCATCAACAATTCATATTCTTGTTCTCTTTAAAGATAATCATTGATAAATAATTTTTCAGTATTTGAGGTTCTTAAAAAGGTATTTTTAGGGTAATGACTAAGTTTTTGATAAAATACATCAGTGCTTATCTTATCCTAATTTCTTAACAAATGTATCATGTACTCATTAATTTGAATAGTGTGCTTCATAAAACAATTCAAACACTATTTTTTTGTTTGTTTCTGTAGAATGACTTTATTTTTTTTTATAAAAGACCCATTTCAATAATTATTAAATATGAAATAAATTAAATTGAAATTTGTAGACATTGGTTATGTTGAACTTATCTTTAAAGTTTTGTCCTTGTTATATTTACAGCTGTTGACTAAAATATGACATATATCAACCTTGAATGGAGAATCATTTGTATATTTTTTTAGAATAATTCTAAATACCATTATATTATTTTAATTGCTGACATTTCAAGTATGTGTATATAACAAAACTCTGAGCTATTGATAGAGTTCTTTTTTCAGAAATTCAAAATTTTAAGTATTTTAAATTGACATTTTATGTAAATATTTGACACCATATCAAACTGCACCAATTACCAATAAGCAATTTCCCAAATAAAGCAACCAAGAATCAGGGTGTGTTTGAATATACTTTTTGTATTACTCACTTCTTTATAAAATTATTCCCATTTGAAAATTTGTGCATTGCTAATAGAAACTATGTAAAGTACTGTTCTTGCATGCCTTTACAAGTGGTTCCCTTTCTTATAGATTTTGGGTATTTGAAATGTTACTGCATGAAACTTTACGGTAGAGGCTTGCATGGCTAAGATTTATTACTTAATTTACAGTTTATATTTCAGAGCTTCATTATTGTGTATAAGTGAAGTTGTTTTGTAAACAGTGCAAAAAGTGAGAATATGAAAATAAAGAGATGTGGTATGTTTGCCAATGAGACAGCTATCTACAAAAGTTCAAATGAAGTGGATGTAAAAAGTAAATTAACAAATACAGAACTCCAACTGTCATATTCCTGACTTGGTACAGGCATTTGTAAGCAATTAAAGGCAACCGTACAGCCTTCAACAATGAGAAAAACTCATACTGTTTATTCGGCTGTAAAAAGCCCCAACATGAATAATATGAAACAATTCAATTGAGAAAACTACATGTATTTGCCATTAAATCAACCCTCAATACATTGAGTGGCACATGTACTTCATATTTTATATAGAAAAAAGCATACATTTGTTTAATGTTTTTGTTCGTTCATTTTGCCCTTGTGTTGATATATACCTTAGAGGGTATACCTAACAGAAAACTTTATGGGACTGGATGTGCATGTTTATTGCTTAATTTACCTTTATATGGAGATTGTACCATTGTGTTCAAAGTTGCCCTAAATCATTAAAAAATATGTATTCAAATTTTTCAAATAGGCAGAATTGACTGTTGAATCTATGTTTTTTTATTAAGCATAGCTGTTTAAAATATATAAGTTTTATGTGATGTACAGTCCTGAAATGACAGTAAATTCAATGAAATAACACTGAAGTAATCTTCACATAAATGCGTATTTTGAGTTTATTTACTCGCTGGGAAAATTATTTTTGAGGATGCTTGTGCTTTATAATTTTTGTTTAAAATGTTTCAGAAATAAGTCTTTTTGAGCGAAAAACTGATAAATCTTGCTCATGAATTCACAGTAAAATTAAGTCTTCATTTCCATGTTTATTTATAGTTTTCTGAATATCCTCATTCTCAAAATCTGATATTTGACATTGTCATGAGTCATAATAATCACCAACCTGATGCAATAAAACTGGGTAAATTTGATGTCGTTAAAATAAGTATGATTCTAGTATATGAAATTTAAAAATATTTTTTTCTCTGTTTTTCTGTTACAGAAAGAAGTGCTTCAACAGGTAAAGGATCTGAAATAGGATCAGCTGTATGTCTATATACCACAGTAAAGCCAGGGGACAAAGAAGATCTGGAATTTACACTCACATGGGACATGCCTGTTGTACATTTCAAAGCTAGAAAACATAAGTATCTAAGGTAAGGCATTAGTTGTGGTCAGATTTCCCATGTTAAATCATGAATCTTTTTTATTTTCATATGACTTATATTTTTGTATGCTTTTTTTCTGAATGACAATTTACCATTCATATTTGTAACCCTGTGTTATTATTATTCTTGCTTAATTACCAGCAAAACTATTTGGAATTGTCCTTTTGCTTCAGTTGCAGGAATTTCTACATTTTCTTATGTAAAGTTTTCTGTTCAGATTTGGAAATATTCTAGCAATAGATTATTGATATTTTGTATGGTGTTGCTGTAACATTTTAATATCTCAAAGATAATTTAGAGGTCAGACTCCTTAGTTACACTTTATAGTTATACTCCATTGAGGTTGTTGTATCACTTACCATTGTTTATGATGAATAGTTAGGTAACACAGTGCATCACATTACTATTTATTATATGGCTGTGATGCAAAACTTTATTTATGATTATGATTAAAGGTTTTTTTTGTTTGTTTTTTTTAACACAGAAGAAGAATATTGAACAAATTTCATATGCTTTATAACATAATTTAAAACATAATTTCTGAATTCAAAAGGGTATTATAAAAGATCATAAAAACTATTGTATATTTCTCAGTCCCTGTTAATATTTTGTGATTTTACAGACGGTATGCTCGTTGGTTTGGTAGTTCTGGTGATGCATGTCCACAGCTGTGTAGTTATGCCCTGAAAAACTATCCTATGTGGGAAACAAAGATTGAAGAATGGCAGAATCCAATTTTATCAAATAAGTAAGTACACAATGTAGCTCTTTATAACTATTTATATAAAGTATGTGTGGAAAAGTAGAAAACAACTGTCAGTGGCAGATCCAGGGGGGGGGTTCCGGGGGTTGGAACCCCCCTTTTTTTTGATGATCAATGCATTTGAATGGGGACATATAGTTGGAACCCCCCCTTTATCCTGGGTTAGGAACCCCCCTTTTATAAATGGCTGGATCCGCCCCCGACTGTGCATTTGTGAAGTATTTGTTTTGTGTATTTTATGAAGAAGAAATATAATGTAATCAATGAACAACTTTTAAATTTGGAAAGAAGTCAATGATTTCCAGACTCTGAATTGAATTTTTCATACCAACAGAACTTTGTACCTTTTTTATCCATTATAAATTTACCAGCTTGCTATATCAGCTTTATTTGTTGGTTATACTTTTATCTTTCAGAAATTTACCATCCTGGTACAAGTCAGCTTTATTCAATGAGTTATACTTTGTCAGTGATGGTGGATCTCTATGGTTAGATATGGCTGAAGAGAAAGATGGGCAGATTCAGAGAAAGATCAGTCCAACAGAACCAGAGGTTATACAAGAATATGGAAAATTTGGCTATCTAGAAGGTACATTAGATGAAATTGAAAACCTGTTCATGTTAGAATGTTATACCAAAACAGTGAAAAGCATTGTAACTCAAAAGCATTAAGCCAACTGATGTTGTAAATTTATTGATTAGCTGATATTTGTCTTATTTCTAATAAAGGATCAGCCATACGTTATAACTCTCCATCAATATATTGATTCAGTAAGAGAACAAGTTCAGGCTTATAGGAAATTTGTCTTGAAAGATCATAACGATAGTGGTCATGTTTAAGGTTCCACTAAAGTCAAAATATAGGACACTTCATAAACATCTAAACTTTGCCTGTATTTTTCAACCTATAATGAATAAAATCCTAAACTATGGGAACATATGTTCATTTAAACATATTTAACATATACACACTGTGTAAATTGTAAATAAACTTGAAATTGTTATGTTGTGGCCAAACCGGTTCTTTGGGTGAACACAAAATTTTCCAAAAAATCTAGAGGCCTGCGAGACAACTTAATTTGTTTAAAATTGGTAATATAAATAATGCAGGGCAAGCTCATGTTGATTTTTCAGAAAATGTATTGATTTTCGAGTTTCAGTTAATTTCATGTATCTAGGTGAACGGATATCGAAGGGTCAATACAGAAATTGGACAAATATGCCATTAAAACATATGTATGTGACAAATCAACATGAGCTTGCCCTGCATTACATGTAACAGTATTCGTCCATACCAATTTTAAACAAATTAAGTTGTCTTGCAGGCCTCCAGATTTTTTTGAAAATTTAGTGTTCACCCAAAGAACCGGTTTGGCCACAACATAAAAATTTCAAGTTCATTTACAATTTACACAGTGTGTATATGTTAAGTATGTTTAAATGAACATATGTTCTCATAGTTTAGGACTTTATTCATTATAGGTTGAAAAATACAGGCAAAGTTTAGATGTTTATGAAGTGTCCTATATTTTGACTTAAGTGGAACCTTAAAGACACTTTGGACCTGCTCTTTCACATTAAGTTCATGAGGAGGATGTCAAAAGGGAAACAAATTCTATATAAATACCTATTATAAAAAAATGATGTTTTTCTGAATTTTCCTTTTTTTGCAATTGTTTTGCAGTTAGAGAAGACAGGAATTTTTTTTTTAAGATGTTAGCTATGTCAGAATATAAAATATAAAATAGTGATTTGGGCAATGACTAGCAGGTACAAGATCCTTACTATCTTCAAAGTTTAAACAAGTGCTTAACTGCATGAATTGATGCAGGGGCTTGAAGTAAGACAATCAAACATTCAATAACTTAATGGAATCATATCATACCTGGTAATTAATGTGATAGAAGAAAAAAACAAATAAATACAGGTAAGTACAAAATTTATACAGTGGAAAAGTACATAATTAGTATATTTTGGTAGAATGGGTATCTTAATACATTTGACCTATCATATTTTAGTTATGTACCACATTCAAGACAATCTGTAAATCAATCTTAATGTTCAATATGGCACAAATACCTATATTAAGATGTTCATTTACAGGACATGAATATAGAATGATTAACACCTACGATGTCCACCATTATGCTTCCTTTGCCTTCATCATGTTATGGCCTAAGATTCAACTGTCTATACAGTATGATATGGGTGAGTTATAGAAAAATTATGGTATTAAAAGTAAAATAACTAATTATTAAGTACATTTAGTATATGCTATTAGAGGCCAAAGATTTAGCTACTATAAATTCAGAAATTATTGTGTGCATTTATAATTGCAATTTTGTCATTTTAGACCAAATTGCGATTATAAATTTTGCGATACTGAGAAAAATTCTGCTTCTTTCATATAAAAAAAAATTCCAAAATCCAAGTTTAAATTATTGCGATTACAACCCTGTCGCATTTTTAGCAATAATAAAAACATCACAATAATTTCTGAATTTACAGTATCTTTTCTGTACACTAGCTTATCATACACATGGAGAAATTTTAAAGACTTGCAAAGTACTTTTATCTTAATATATATTTATAAAGTGTTGTGTTAATGGACAAAGATTCAGAATTAGTAGCTTACTTGATTGATAAGAAAATATGCTTATAGCAGCTGACTCCAGTTAATGTTTGCATTTATAGCTTCCAGGGGTATTCTTTTTCACAAAGTTCTTGTATATGTATTATCCATGACATAAAGACCTATAATGTAATTTTAATAAAATCAATTATATGCTATATTATTTATCATTCAGCCACAGCAGTAATGTCAGAAGACACAACTCCGATAGTATTTTGTATGGAAGGAAATCGAGGGATCTATAAAACAAAGAATGCAGTACCACATGATCTAGGAGATCCAGGTAAGGTACTCCTACTACAGGAATCCAATAGTATAAAAGGAAGGAAACTAAGGCATGTAGTAAACAAAGAATGATGCTCATCATGATATAAAGAATCCATATAGACGACTTTCGAATTCATGCACTTTCCCATACATTTCCTGTCACAATGTTTTTGTTATTACGTCACAGTAAGAACTGATTGTTCGAAAAACTCGATTACACCAATTTACCTCGGGTCAACCGGTGTAACTCATTCATTAAAAACAACTTGAGAGTCGTGTATAAGATACTCCTATAATATATTCAAGGGAAGAAAATCAGGCTGTATTTATTTAAATTCTAAAATTTATTTAACTTAAATATTTTCTAAAGTTTTGTGATAGCTAGTTATGTCATGTGGGAACAACCTGCATCCTTTTGATAGCAAATTTGTTTCTATAATACTTTGAATTTCCATTTATGGCTAAACATTGCAAGGATACAACAGAACACCACTTGATAAATATATATACCTACAGATATTTTAATGACACCTTTTCCTTAAATTGATCCCAACTTTTATGAATATAGAAATGAAATGTTAATAACCGGCTGATAAACCCATAGTCTATAGTACTTGATATCAATTTTTTCTTAACCAGTCTAGGAAATTAGGAAGTTGTTTTTATTTCATTCCTTGATGGTAATGTACTGTTGCTTATTTTATCGTTCAGATGTTGTATGCCTTAGATTTTAATTGCTTTATATTTTCATTACTAAAAATACGGTAAAGAATACTGACAACTTAAACTGGTCACAGCTTTGAATTTTATAACAAATAAAGAGATTTTTATGAGTGTAATTCTACTTACAGGAATCAGTAAAATACTAAGTAATTTCACATACTACTTATCATGACATTGTCATTTAACAAAAACATGTGTGTACAAACAATGAGTCCTAAAATAATGTGAATTTTCCTCATCCTATTCATGACAAGATCACAAAATGATTGCTACTTTTTTGTTGAGATATAGAAATATGTGGTTTAATTTGATGTGATATATCAAACATTACAGAGGACGAGCCCTGGGATAAAGTGAATGCCTATATTGTACATCCTACACATGACTGGAAAGATTTAAATCTTAAGTTCATCCTACAGACTTATAGGGATTATAGTCAAACAAAAGATACAGATTATCTCAAAGATATGTACACTGTGTGTCAGGTAGGTTCTGTTGGATAGGTTTTTACAAATAAAAAATGTCTGTAGAAAAATCAATCTGATTAGAATACAGATTCTGTGTCCAAGCTTTGCTTAGTAGGATCTGATAACACTCCTTTCTACTTTCTGCTGTAATGACTATTGGGGATCCTCTGGTTTTGTTGGATTAAGATCAAGGAATAGTAAATGGCCTATGTCACAGATTTTGGTAAAATATTGCATATTCTTTTGTATATAATGGTTTGATATTCTAGCAGAAATGATAATCAGAGCACTGCTTTAATTCACTTGAAATCACTCTTGTTTGACAGTTAATGTCCCTTAATAAATTCTGTTGTTTTTTAGGAAACATCTTTATTTTTTTATTTTAATAGATATAAACTGAACCAATGTGGTAGCATATTATGAACAACTATAAAATGGAACACAAATTATACCATTTGATGTTTTAGGTACTCTGTTGTGTTTTTTTTTCATACAAGATGGGTAAATCCACATGCTGTCTTATTTTTTATGGAACTATTCATGACAATATTTGTTACCCTTTTGATGTGGAAAGAAGAGTTATTAAAAGTCTTATACAATTTAGTTTGCTTGTTACAAAAAAGTTTTCCAATGCAGCATTAACTGAAAAAGATGTTGATGTATGGACAGATAAGTGTTTGAATGAAATATTTTTTTAAGCTATTAAAGTAAAAACTTTAAACTACATGTCTGAAAAACATAGCATATGACCTTTACTATAAAATGTATATCTGTGTATAATACTGTTACAAGGAAGAATTTGTGCAACTAATTAGTTCAGAATTATTTAAGTGATAAAGCTTCAATGTGGATTTTTTTTTTGCATTTTAGGATAAATGTAAAATATTTTCACTGACAATTTCTATACAATAAACAGTCATTTCATCACTAAAGGTATAGTTCCTGTTGTACTTGTATTAATCAGAACAACAGTAGTTCATGAAGATTACCATACTGCATGATAGTTACATACCTGTCAACCTCTGAAACTGAAAATGCAGGTCATGACCTGCATTCAAGAATAAATGTCAGGTCATAACGCATATGAACTCGGTCCAATTTTAGTATTGAGAGTTTTTTTTATATACTATAACTTATACATGTACCAACATATACATGTACCACTGAGTTTCCTAAAAATAATCACTTTTGTATTTGTTAAGTATAAAAATATTTATCATTAATTAATTATCTTTCTTAAGAATGCCCTTTTATTGTTTTATTCACACTAGTTTACTTTTTTTTATTAGTGAATGTCATAAACCCCAGCTATACATGTAATTAGAAATCAATTATAGCTTACTCCTATACACAGGTGGAAGATAAATAGAAAGAAGTTAGAGTGTTTCCTTTCAGTGTAATATCTAGAGCATATGGATTTGATTTAAAGCTTTTACAATTAAGTGATTATTCTCTCCAACAGAAATGTATTAAAAGGTTCAAATTGTTTTAAAATGATTTTTACAGGATATTTGATATTTGCAAACGGCAAATCTTTTAATCAGGACATAGAATTGTATGTCAAGCTTGGCTGGCTTCAACTTTCTGGGGTACAATTAACAAACAATCCTCAAATTATTACTTTTCAATCAAATGTAATGTTTTGATAGCTGTCATTGGCACGGTAAATAAGCAAATTCTAAATTCAATTGTTTACCTTTTCAAAGGAAAAAACTCTGAGAAAACCGAAAGTATATTTGACTTCTAAATACCGTAAACAATACTGGTCAGATATATGGGTGAAATTAGGTCATTTTCTGAAATCCCGGGTTATTTGAATAAACGGCGGGTATTTAAAAAATCCAGTGTAAAGGGGGAAATTCTCGGGTGTAAGCCGCAGAATACGGGTCAGTTGACAGCTATGTAGTTACAGTAACTTGCATTATTCTTAGCTACATTTAAACCATTGTCAAAGTTGATCAATATCAAATAGGAAAGATCTGATTGTATTTATGTAAAGGCTGTCATGTAAATATGTATATCAGCTGTGATGTATTTATGTATAGGCTGTGATGGAACATGCTAGACAATGGGATACAGATGGTGATGGTCTGATAGAAAATGGAGGCTATGCTGACCAAACCTTTGATGCTTGGACAATGACTGGTGTGAGGTACATTCAGTAAAAAATGTTATATTATTTTATTATTTGAAAGTTATATTTTGCCTTATTTAGTGATTTCATTGGTGAGCATCATGGCGACCACAAAATTTATACATGTTTAAATTAGTTTCATGATATTGTGACAGACCAAATAGTCCTGTAATTGGTCATAAGATATTTGATGTGGGAATAATTTTCTTTTGATTTTATTGGAATATTAAGTAATAAAGGTTATCTTGACAGAGTTTATTGGTGTGGCCTTTCACTCAGAAACTTGACATAAAATCCTTCTAGGACTAGGTTTGTTTAGAAATTTTTTCAATCCCTAATTTTATTGCAGTTGTGTCAACGTCCTTCTTAATTTAACTTTATAAAAGGAGCTAAGTCTGATCAGAAACTTTTGAATACTGGATATATGTAATCTGATTTATGAATTAATTTCAAAAAATTGTTGGTTTGGATCCGTTGATTTAAAAGATGCATATCATTCTGTGAATGTTGCCAAGAATGACAGAAAATACTCAAGATTTTATTCATATTGGAATGAAATTTTGTATGAAGTGAATTTTCCAAGTTTACACACAATAAATCCTTCAAATCAACCATTATTACTCTATTGAATTTGACCAGGAACATATATGTTAGATATACTGTTCCCAGATTTTACTTTTGGCATTGCATCAAGTTTCTCTAGATTTGGATTTCTTACATTGTCAGAATTTAATTTCACTGGATTTTTGATTTCTTACAATTACACAGTCTGAATTTGTTGCTTCGTCAAATCTCTAGATATGATGACACAAAGGTATTATTAATTTGGTTTATCTTACAGATGCTAAATAAGGTATTATATGTTTACACAAATGTATCATTGATATATTTATTTGATAAAAGTAGAAAAAAATGTCAGTTTTGGAGGGAAAAAAAGGAAAATTGAGATGCCAAAAAAAATATTGAAACTTTTGCTTGCATGAAGAATTTTATTCCCTGTATCTTAAACAAGATACTATCAATAATAATTTGAATTGTAACAATAACTGATATTGTAGTGCTTACTGTGGAGGTCTATGGCTAGCAGCCCTGAAGATGTACATAGAAATCAGTAGGATTGTTGGTAATACAGAGGAAATGAAGAAATATACCGAAATATTAGATAAAGGCAAAGAAGCATTTGATAAAAAATTGTGGAATGGTAAGTTTAATGAGAAACTTGTATTTTCTTTTATTTTGACATCTGAGCACTTATTTTATGGACAATATAATTTATTATTCCATTCTTCTGTATAGAGGAATTTTAAACATTGATATAAGTTGTTTATAAGCAATAGTTAATCTTAACAAGCTACATGTCAACAAATTATTACTTGTCTTATTAGTCAATCTCATAACCTAAGGTGAAACACTGGCATGCTTATGTAAATTTTTTTATGTTTTTATTTTGTTAGGAAGTTACTATAATTATGACTCCAGTACTACCAGTGGACATGATGATAGTGTGATGGCTGATCAGCTAGCTGGACATTGGTTTCTAAGGGCCTCAGGCATGGAGGATGCAACTGTAGGAATACATTAATATATAGAATTATAAAATATTTATCATTGATTGTCCTGTCAAAAAAGTCAAGTATTTTTATACCCCCACCGTAGCGGAGTGGGCATTAAGTTTTACCCTTGTCCGTCTGTCCGTCTGTACGTCCGTACATCCCAAAGTTGGTTTCTGTTCTCTAACTTTAGTTTGCCTCAACCAAATATTATGAAACTTATACACAATGCTTATTACCACAAAACACAGATCAAGTGTGAATTTTGGTGGTGTCACTTTAAATGTTCTAGAGTAATAATAATAATAATAATAATAAATTCTTTATTTAAAGAGGGTAAACTCAGTTAGTTACAATAAACTAATCTTCCCTGAGGCCCTCACATACAAATTACAATACAATCAAAAACAGATATTTACACATAGTTAATTTACAGTCAATTAGTTCAATGTAATATTACTAACATGATCAGATATAAGGCTGTTCAAGATGCACATGTAGTCAAAAAATCAAATAAAAATAAAAATAAAAGAATATACAAATACATTGTAGAAAACATAATCTTATCAGGACTGTGTTAAGTACTTCTTGATACTTTGTTTAAAAGTATAAGTGTTTGGAGCTTTACCCATTTTGTGTGGTAGTCCATTCCATAACACTGATCCAGAATAAACAAAAGATTTCTTAAATAGCTCAGCTTTTGGCTTAGGAACTATCATATTACCTTGAGTGACACCTCTCAAGGAGTAAGGATTATTATCTGATTTCAGTTTAAACTTTTGAACTAGGTACATTGGAGCTTCCATACGCATACATTTATGTAGAAGTAAATATTTGTGGTATTTGATTCTATTGTCAACTGTCATCCACCCAAGTTCTTTTAATGCCCCTTTACAAATGGAAAAATTGCTGAATTTTTCGTTTCCGTTCTCTAACTTTAGTTTGCCTTAACCAAATGTTATGAAACTTATACACAATGCTTATTACCACAAAACACAGATCAAGATTGAATTTTGGTGGCGTCACTTTATACGTTCTAGAGTTATGCCCCTTTACAAATGGAAAAATTGCTGAATTTTTTGTTTCCGTTCTCTAAATTTAGTTTGCCTCAACCAATGTTATGAAACTTATACACAATGCTTATTACCACAAAATACAGATCAAGTTTGAATTTTGGTGGTGTCACTTTAACCGTTCCAGAGTTGTGCCTGTTTACAAATGGAAAAATTGCTGAATTTTTCGTTTCTGTTCTCTAACTTAAGTTGGCCTCAACCAAATGTTATGAAACTTATAGGGGTAAATTCAGTAAAAAATCTCCCATTGACTGTAATGCTAATCTATGTCTTGAATTAAATTTATACCTGATTTACCTTTAGAAATTGGAAGCTTTCATATATCATTCATGAAAGTACAAATGTAGCCCTATCTTTTGCAATAATAAAAACATAGGGTCATGCGGCATTTTTGGGCATTCACATGGCCTTGTTTACAAACACTGTAGATTCACACTTAATTCCTTTACTGACCCCCATTACTTTTCAACCCTGTAGTAAAAAAAATTTAGTACATTCAGCATTCATTTTTTAATTTTTTTTAACTCTAGTTTTGATCCATCTATCAAAAAATATTTATTACAAACATTATCTACCAATTAGAAGAGCACAGGACTTCAGTTTTGTACAGAAAGCTCTCCCGCAAATGGGCGGTCCCTGATGACGTATATTTATTTACTGAATTTACCCCTATAAGGGACTTTTTAACTTCTTTTCCTATTTTTGTTGTATTAATCATGTAATGTATCCAATTTTCAAGTTCCAGTTTCAATACAACATTCATAAAGGCTGAACTTGTAAAGAGGGAGGAAAATTTATACTACAGCCCATACTGTGGCCAATGTATATTTGGTATATAAAGTTGCACATTGACTGTTTTTAAAAGAATGGTGTAAAATACTATGCTTAATAAATATGAATTGTTTTCTGTGTTTGCTTTGATCAGTATTGCAAGTACATCTAGGAACTAAAGTCTTGATGTACTCTTAGTTAAATTTTGCCTTATATGGAAGATTTTAATTAAATACCCTGAAAAAGACCACAAAAAGACTTTTCAAAGGTTTTTTAAGCAGTTTCATACCATAAAAAACAACAATTATGTTTCATTTTTCTAAATCTGTGTTTTAGTTACTTGTAAATTTCACAAAATGTCATTGACAACCACTCTGCAGGAATTCCTGTTACCCCAACATCTGGATGGTTTCTTCGCCCAAACTAGATGGACAAAACTGAAGTAGAAAAAAGTGCCAAATATGAAAAAAATAAGACTGGGTATGACTAAACTTTGCATTTGGAACATAAAAGTAACAATTTAGAATATTAAAAAGCAATTATTTAACATAGCAATCCAATTACAAACATTTCAACACTAGTTTTATAGATGAAGGGTATATAATCATGAAAAGTTGTCTAGTATTTTTTTTTACTTAAAGAAACGCAATGAATTATGTAAAAATAAATGAATATCTTCATACGGTCAGATTATTCGAGTGTTAAAATACTTGAAAAGTGCTTATTTACAACATGATCTACAACTTAACATGGGGAACACAGCTAAAAAAAATACACTATGTCAAAGGGAGGTAATTCTGACTTTCCATATGATTTTACACATTATTAGGAGAAATATGTGCAGAATGTGATTTAAAATGGGGAGAATATTTATGCCTTTTAATAATATCATAACTCTCAAGTGTAATTTCTATTGTTTCTTTCAATCTGGACACAAAACTGATTTTTTACCATATACCCCATGCTTCCTCCCACAGTACACTCAGAGCATCCTGGATAGCCGCGGTTAAACATAGAAATTTGTATAAAAACAACTTTAACTGGTTCCAAAAGGCTTCCATTGCATTAATATTTACAGGAAATGAGTTTTGTGATTATTGTGTGGCCTTGAACAAGTACAGTGACAGAGTGCATATTTTCCTATAGGGGTAAATTAAGTAAAAAATCTCCGGCTGACTTTAATGCTAATCTATGTCTTGAATTACCAATCAGAAGAGCACAGGACTTCAGTTTTGTACAGAAAGCTCTCCCCCAAATGGGCGGTCCCTGATGACGTATATTTATTTACTGAATTTACCCCTACACACAATGCTTATTACCACAAAATACAGATCAAGTTTGAATTTTGGTGGCGTCACTTATACCATTCTTCAGTTATGTCCCTTTATAACTTCATATTATATGCAAGCGGGGGCATCATTTGTGTCCCATGGACACATTCCCCATTTATGTTATATCGTGCAATCAGATTTCAGAAAAAGTCTTGTATAGGTAGATCTGAAGTATAAGACAAAGCTGCCAACTTTCTGAATAACTATATCGACTTATAGTCCAAAAATTATGGTAATTACTGCATTCTAAATTATAAAAATAAGGAGATGTGGTGTGATTGCCAATGAGACAACTATCCACCAGAGTTCAAATGAAGTGGATGTAAGCAATTATAAGAAACCGTATGGCCTTTAACAATGAGAAAACCCCATACCATATAGTCAGTTATAAAAGGCTCAGACATGAAAAATGTAAAACAATTCAAACGAGAAAACCAATGGCATAATTGATAACAAAACAATATATGAAAAACAAGTATGACATATATGAACCAACAACAACCACTGAACTACATACTCCTGACTTGGGATAGGCACATAAAGAATTCATACAAATTGGCTGATACATTCTTTTCTTTAATCAATTTTAATAACCCGGTAGATTTGATTCACTTTTACTCAACTTTTTATATTGATTTGATAATTCTGTTATGTCAATTTCTTTAATATTTGCTGATATATATTGCCAATTGATCCATCTTCTAATTAGACTTAAGATTTATTAGATTTTATGTATCAAGACAAAAGCTTTACTGGATTCTTAAAACCATTATTTAGTAATTATTTAAAATATTCCCTAATTAGGCAGCCCTCATTTATCTCACAGATTTTTCCACCAACACATGTAAAGACAGCTTTGAAGACTATATTCAAAAATAATGTTATGGGATTTGAGAATGGTAACATGGGAGCCATTAATGGAACAAGGCCTGATGGGAAGATGGATATGAGTAGTGTTCAAAGTGAGGAATTCTGGGTAGGAGTCACTTATGCCCTTGCTGCAAATATGATTCAGGAGGTATGTTTTAGTCTAAGATGAGATAAAAAGTACATAAGCACTCAAACTTATAGTAATGTTATTGAATAGCCTTATGATGTAAATGGTGTTCGGGTTTAATGATATTGAATAAGTATTTCATATGGGACATCATCACGGAGCGAGTGGTATACTGCAATCGCCTTGTCTCTCAATCTCTCTGTCCATCCAATTCTCTATCTGTATACCGTCTTTTGGTATGTATAGTGCGCACATTTATAACCTGGGTCATGTTTCTTGTAAGAGGGGTGCGCATTATATATGCCTACAAACATTTTCTTAGCCTTTTTTCAGGTCCGAACTCCTGACAAAGAAAAAAACAGGTGAAGTGAAGAGTACGGAATTTTTCGCTAATTCCTCGACTTTTATTATGTTTTACATGTTATATTTGTAATATGTATCTTATTGTACTTGATATGTCATTTTTATTCAAATAAAATACATTTTATATCTCTGTAGTTTTGTTCGTTTATCGTGCAAATTTGTCCATCTGTTTGCAATCCCGAAGTTTGCCATGACTTAATAAAGACACCATGAAGCTTTTGTTGTCGGTTAATTTAGGCTCTGTGTTTCTTGTGGTCATAACTTACTGTTTTGTATGTGTTCATCATGGAGAGTAGAAGATAAGTGTATGAAAATTGAATAAACCAAGCTCGTTTTGAAAAGATAAACCGCCATTTTTTTTTTAATGTATCAGGTGATCGCCAGTCATGTGACTTAATATTGTAAAGTGATGATTCAGTCTATGAGAATTTTTTTTTTTTATAAATACGTTTCTACTTTGTAACTTTTAAACAGTAACAACTGTTTAAAACCGTTCAAGAAATTATGATTGAAAACATGATTATCCCATAATTGTAACCTGAACGAATTTAATTAGGAACAAGGTAAACCTGTCATTGATTGTTTTGACATCGATTAGACCCATTGATTGAGGTGTGATAATCCGGATTAACAGCTAGAATCAACAAACAACAAATAAAAATTATGAGATTTTAACAATTTATTTCAGCACTAATTCATAACATAAAATTAAATAATACAAGATAATACAATTCCGTATTAATTACGTATTCCGTACGGAATTCACCGACATCGGTGACCATTTAAAAAACTTCTAGTTTAGACTTCCTGTTTGCCAACAAACGACAAACATTAACTTGTGGGTTATAAAAAGAAGATAACTATTAAAATTCTTTATTCAGCTACAATAAATTCTTTCCATGATATTAATCATAACTTCTCATTAATTCCTTGCCGAAAAAAATCACGCTCAAGCAATTTTACCGATTTTGGAGCTGTGACTTTTCCGAAAATGTCTATGTGTATTATACGAAGAAAAACTTTTTTTCTCAAGTTTCTTGGACCATAAAGGGGGTGCGCACTATGCATACCAAAAGACGGTATCCGTTTATCATATTGATATTGATCAGCACACTACGAAGCCTTTTTGAGCTTGTTTGCTGCACTCACTCAATACAAAGCTGCATATTGTGACTTTTAGCTTCTATTTTATGCTGGTTATGCTTTTGTTTTGATGAATAATATTCCAGCTCCCAGCTTTTTGTAAAAACAATATTTAAAAAGAAACAACTCAATCAAATATTTTATTTTGTGTAACTTTCTGAATACCATTTTAGTGCTGGTTTCTGATTGGATATCATAAACTTTTTGTAATGCATACATGTATTTATGACCTGAAGTCATTGAAATGTAAACCTGAAAGGGATGTTGAAGTGATGACATAATGAAATAAATTTCTGTTACAGGGTATGTTGGATGAAGCCTTCCAAACAGCATGGGGAGCTTACCATACATGTTGGGAAACATATGGCCTACAATTCCAAACACCAGAGGCCTACATGCTTGACAGAAATTACAGATCCCTGGGCTATATGAGACCACTATGTGTTTGGGCCATGCAATGGGCTTTAGAAAAGTTTCATCCACAGTTAATGAAGTCCTAACTATGTGCAATATGGACTTGGTGATGCTATAAAGTTTTTTGTGTTCATATTGCTCAGTTTTTACACATTTTATTTTCAAAGCCACACGTTTTTTTTTGTTAGATCTTGTTTTATACAGCTGAAATAAATATATTCATAGACATCATTTGGTCTCTGGTGGAGAGTTGTCTCATTGGCAATCATACCACATATCCTTATTTTATACACTCAGTCATTCCACATCTGAAATACATGGAAAAAATGCAGTGTTCGAGTAAATTTATCATGAAATATAAGATAAATCAGTTAAAAGCTTTCATCACCAAATTTTTTTACATTATTTGATTGAATTAAATTTTCTCGAGATTTTTTTAAAGATGTTTCATTTTTGAATTCTTAAGTCTGCATTTTGATCATGAGCAAATAAAAAATCTGTAAAAATATCAGAAAAATAATGGCATGACAAAAATCATAATATGTTCACATGAAATTGTAGGCAAGTATTTGATACTGTACGTCATGTTATTGCTTGTAATTTGTTGAATTTTAATTAGTAATAATTATGTTATTTTTTTTTTACAAATATTTATTTGATATTAAATAATTAAGCTTCCATATATACACAAGTGCAATTATTACAAATCGTAAATGTTAGATTAATTGTTGTTTATATTGTTATAGTGTTTTTAAAAGATATATCTTTTTTTGTTTAATTTTTGTTTTCTTTCGTATTGCTTTAAAGAATAATTTTACATTATTTTCCCACTAGTCTATGCTTTAATTGTCAGGTGGTATCTTTGGTTACAGTGGGAATTATACCAAAATATTGTAGTTTTTGACATGTTAAAAGCATATAATTAACAAATATTACTTGTCAGATTTTTATCTTCATTATAGTAATCAAGTTTCTCAAACTTTATTTACTGACAAGGATATGAAAGAAAAAGGGTAATTAAAAAGGGTATTTAATGAGATGAATAATTGATTTGAGATGTTAATAAATTTGAAAGCTCAGAAGTAGTGAAGAAATGAACTCAGGTATGTATATTCATGTACGAGTTTCATTGTAATAGTATACATTGTTTAGGCTACCTCATCATACTTGACATCATACCAGCATAAGAAATTTCCTTTCCTTGAGAACAATTCAAGATATAACTTAACCATGATTAAAGTAAAGTACAATAATCAATACCCAATTGATAAAAGCAAATAAATATTTTAATTTTCTGTAACCCAAAAATGCATGTTTTTTATAATTGGACAATTGTTTATTCTTGAATTATACCTTGTTAAATTGCGCCATTAAAGGCATAATTACCTAAAACCATGGAATTTTATGATTGAGGTTATGTTTGGTCCAACAGATTTCTATAAAAATGCTACGGGTTGCAATTGATATTAATAATTGGAATACATGCATTAGTCTTTGCAAGGTACTAGATCCTATTGATTCTTACATTGTCATCTAGATACAGAATCAAACTTAGTCATCTTTAGTGATAGCAAGCTAAATAATCTTTATCTTAATGGAACTGCGACTCTTTTCACAATAAGTCTTACGAGTAAAATTACTCGTAAGTCATGAACATTTCAGTATAACTTACGATGAATTTAATCGTAAGATTTTTTGTGAAAAGAGCCGCTGTATTTGATCTTTTCATGATGTTGCTAGTCAATTGTTTCATTTATTTCTCTTTAATGTCACAGTAACATTAAATTGTGACTGTTCTTCTTCTTTGTTTATATACAAATTATTATTTATCTTATTATAGTTGATATATGTTTAGATTTTTAATTTTGTTACATTGCCTGGTTGTGTTGTATCATATTTTCAAGCCCTGCACTTTATTTCTAATATGTGTATTGTAGATCTTAAAAATGTCTTTTGTTTCTGAAAGTAAGGAAACTTTTGTTAATCTCATGAGCAGGCAGCAATCCACCAATACAAAATATAGAAATCATAAGAGGAGATTGATGAGTACTCAAAACAAATGTATCCCCTTGTCTCAAGTTAGGAGCATTTTCAGTGCTTTGACTTCATTTTAAACCATGTTTTTCAGTGGTAATACAATGGACAGGCAGCTCCATCTGTTTGCCTGAAATAACTTGAGAATCATTCAACCAATACTTTTCAAATTTGCTGAAGACAAAATGGATGTCTATAAGTAGTTATAACAATTGAATTGTTTCATATTTTTCATGTCGGGGCCTTTTATAGCCGACCATACAGTATAGGTTTTTCTCATTGTTGAAGGCCATACGGTTGCCTATAATTGCTTACATCCACTTCATTTGAACTTTGGTGGATAGTTGTCTCATTGGCAATCAAACCACATCTCCTTATTTTTATACAAACTCAATTTTCTTATTTGAAAATTTTTCATGAAAGGCTCCTCTTTTAAAAAAAGTGATGCTGTTACTGTTATATCTCTGACATTTTGACCTTCTAGCATGTATTAAATTACACCTTTTATCAGCTGAGAATCTTGCGTTATTTTTTTACCTTTGAAATGTTTTCAAATGTATAGACACAAAGAATGATATTGTAAGAAGTGGAAAAAACCTAGTTTCCTTATGTTTACTTTAAATGTTGAATCTGTCTTATATTCTCAATAGAATCACTTTTAAAAGTTTAAAATTTACATGCGTAAGATACACATCAGCCTCATAGTATGATATCACATATTAGTGACCTCCATGACATATATGGCCATTTAAAAACTTCTGTGTTGTAACCCACTACATTTTATGTGGTAGACACTCCATTTTATGTGGTAGACCCTCCATTTTATGTGGTAGACACTCCATTTTATGTGGTAGACCCACCATTTTATGTGGTAGACACTCCATTTTACATAAAATCCTCCATATACTGTAAATTCAGAAATTATGGCAAACATTTATTATTGCGATTTTTATAGAATGGACAATAATGCGAGATTAACTATTGCGATTTCAGGAAAATCTGCATACAGATATATGTATCAGATATGAGAATGCGAGTTCTTATTATTGCTATAATCACCAAGTTGCATTATTCACATAAATAAAAACCTCACAATAATTTCTGAATTTACAGTATACAATTAACATATAGGAATATATTGAATTTATATTGTAAACATAGAAAATTGATCAATGATATACATTTATTGTTAAATAAGGTAGTTTTGAAGTGATATTATCCTTAGAAATCCATTGATCTTTTTTTGTGATTTTATTAGAATTATATTATTTCTAAGTAATGATATTAAAATGTCTAATACAGAGGTCATACAAAGTTTAAATTGAAAGGGATATTGACCTCCTGTGATGTCACAGCGCTTATCAATGGCTTGTGATCTTAACTTGTTTTTAAGGAATTATGTTGTTAAAGTAGAAAAGTATAAGTTGAACCCTTTTAATTTCATTTCAGAAAATGAGATGGATTTCATGTATTCTGTCGTTATTGCTGTGAATTCAACATTCACTATTAGAAAATATGTGTTTTTTTAAAAAACAAAAGTAAAGTTTCTTGTCAGTGTGTTATTATCCCAATAAAGAGCACTTTGCAAGTATCAACCCACTGAGGTTACACACTTCAAACAATGCACTGTCAGTTAACAGAACTTTCAATGTAAGAGGTACCGTAAGTTCTCTTAATCTATATCAAAAGTACCCAAAATTACTATTACCTTGATTGCCTTTTGTTACAAAATTTAAAAAGATTGAAACTGGATTTTAAAAATTTCCAGCTGTCTTAAATGTTTGAAGCCCTGACCCTAACCAATACTTTCTAACAAGTTAAAAAGGTGTAAATGGTTTTCTCTTTGAAACCTAGTGTTTGCTAGAAACATAAGATAAAGCTGTTGTTCAATGGAAATAATATCTTTATTGTGATTTTAAGATATGCCACTTTCTGATCAACTATTATATGTATAACAGTTGAGTATAAATAAAATGTGATTTTTCATATTTTCCAGAATAAATAATAAAATAGTTTCTCTTTCATGTTTTGCATACTTTACATCACATACACAAAGGGTTTGTTTTGTCGATGACATTGAACTTTTTTCATCACATAGCATCTGTCGTCCGTCATTGTCCATTAACTTTTACAAAAATCTTCTCCTCTGAAACTAATCAGCCAAAGTTAACCAGACTTGGCCACAATCATCATTAGGATATCTAGTACAAAATTGTGTCTGATGGGGAAACCTGTCAACAAATGCAAAATTCTATTATTTTGAAAACTGCTATGAATAAGGAAAAAAAGACTAAACTAAAATGTTCAAAATGATGAGATCTACCTATTGTCTGTTTACATCAAAACTGCCAGACAACTAATAGGAGTCATATCCCTTAAATGCAACTTGACCAATTTTTATACCACTGCAAACAATTTTTTGCATTCGTATAATTCTATGATGTCATCGTCGTATTCGGCGTCATCGTTGTCCAAAGATACATTTGGTTTCTGGACAATAACTTTAGTTTTAGTGAATGGATCTCTATGAAATTTTACCACTACAAAAGAAAGGTTAGGATTGATTTTGGGGGTTATAGTACCAACAGCGTAAGAATCAGGGGCCAAAAAGTGGCCAAAAACAAGCATTTTTGTAGTTTCTGGGCAATAACTTGTGTGTAAGTGTATGGATCTCTCTGAAACTGTACCACAAGGTTCCATATCACAAAGGGACGGCTGGGATTGAGTTCAGGAATAAGGGGCAAAAAAAGGGCCAAAAACAAGCATTTTTCTAGTTTCCAGACAATAACTTGTGTTTAAGTGTATGGATCTCTCATAAATTGTACTACAAGGTTCCATACCACAAAGGGAAGGCTGAGATTGAGTTTTGGGGTAATAACTCCAAGGGGGGCGGGGGTTCAAAAAGTTTGGGGAGGATTTTTTCCCAATTTTTTGGGGGGTTCATATTTTTTTTCTTCAAAAGTTTTGAAATTTCAAATTTTTTGAAAAGTTTCAAGAAGAAATCTTCAATTGCACAGTATTGGGCAATAGCAAGAAATCTTCAATTGCACAGTATTGCGCAATAGCACATTATTGCGCAACAGCACAGTATTGCGCAACAGATCAGTACTGCGCAATAGCACAGTATTGCACAATAGCACAGTATTGGGCAATAGCAAGAAATCTTCAATTGCACAGTATTGGGCAATAGCACAGTATTCTGCAATAGCAAGAAATCTTCAATTGCACAGTATTGCGCAATAGCAAGAAATCTTCAACTGAAAATAAATACAAATCTTTTAACCAATTTCAATGGGATTAATTTAAAGTCTTTAATTTTTGGGGGTTCTAACCTTGTATTACTATTTTGGATATTGGGCCCCATTTTTAATTTGGTCTACGTTGAGGTCAAAAGTAAAAATAACAAAAATACCGAACTCCGAGAAAAATTCAAAACGGAAAGTCCATAATCAAAGGGTCCAAAATTAAACTTTGTTTGATATCATCTAAAACTGAATTATTGCGGCTGTATGATATGCTGAATCTCATTTTGCATTTAGATTTTTTATTTTGGGCCCTGTTTTCAAATTAGTCCATATTAAGGTTTGAAGGGTCCAAAATTAAGCTTTAAAATTGAGAATGGAAATGTTGTTTGATTTCAACTAAAATTAAATTTTTGGTGTTTTTTTATATGCAGAATCTAACCATGTTGTTAGATTTTGGATATCAGACCATTCTAGGTAAATTAAATGTCCCATTTCAAATTTTTAAGATCTTTGACCCCATTTATTTTGTGTCAGAAACCTATATTATGTAAATAATTTGATCACAATCCAAATTCAGACAGTATCAAGCTTGAAGATTGTGTTCAAACTTGCCCCAACTGTTCAGGGTTTCGACCTCTGCGGTCTTATCAGGCTGTGCTCAGCGAAGCATTTTATTTTATTCAGCCATGCTGGATCTATGTGATCAATCTATAATTGGAGATGGTGCAAAATTCTAAGTTGAAGACATGTCATGAAAATAATTATGTGTTTCTATGACTTGCAGAAACTTTATACACCATTTTAAACTTCAACTGCCAACTTTTGATATGTTATTTTCCCTTTATAAATCCAAATTTATATTAAATTGCCATTTATTAATTAATGTGGAAAATGTGATTTATCAAATATAAGCAGTTGATAAGAATACTGAAAGTGTTTTATCGGTATTTTATGTTTCTGTAAGCCATTGAATAAAATTTGGTTCAAGATGTGTATTGATATCAGAGTTGATTCCCACACTTATTGATATGGCTATTATTTCCACTCTTGCATTAGGCAAATGATATTATTGATACAATACCAATATGATGGACAGCTGCCACGATGTTCAAACAATTACACTCAAAGATTGTAGGTATTAATTGGATTTAAACTCCACTCAAATGCAGTCCTAATTGACTACAGTTATATTAATATATCATGACAGTTGATAATCATACTGGTATTGAGGTCAAGAATTTGTGTATCCAATTTATTACACATCTAACTGAATACAGAAAAATCTTGACCTCAATAGTTGTAAAATCAATGTCATAATCATCTGACATAAGTTAATAATTAAAGTATATTTAAGTTATAATTATCAGTAATTTGGTTGGGAGCAATAAAAACAATTACATGATAAGATTGAGAATGGAAATGGGGAATGTGTCAAAGAGACAACAACCCGACCAAAGAACAGAAAACAGCAGAAGTCTTCAACACAGTGAGAAAATCCCACACCCGAAGGCGGGCTGCAGCTGGCCCCTAAACAAAAATGTGTACTAGTTCAGAGAAAATGGACGTCATACTAAACTTCAAAACATATAAATAAACTAAAATTAAAAATCATACAAGACTAACAATGGCCAGAGGCTCATGACTTGGGACAGGCGCAAAAAAATGCGGTGGGGTTAAACATGTTTAGTGAGATCTCAACTCTCCCCCTATACTTCTAGCCAAAGTAGAAAAAAAACAATACACAGCAATACGCACAGTAAAACTCAGTTTAAAAGAAGTCCGAGTCCGATGTCAGAATAGGTAACAAAAGAAACTAAGCAAAATGATAATGATACATAAATTAACAAAGGACTACTAGCAGTTACTGACATGCCAGATCCAGATCTCAATTAAACTGATTGAAAGATTATGTCTTCATCATATGAAAATCAAGCACAATCCCTCCCGTTAGGGGTTTAGTATCATACCATCATATAATATATGAGAAGAACATAACCCGTATCATGCCAACAACTGGTTTTAGAATACATGTGTTTATTTCCGATGCAAAGACTCTATGAGTGAATCAATATAAATACCAGAATATGCCATCTTTAACGACCTAACAACAGTATCGTAACTATATCCCTTTTGAATAGTCTGTTTAAAGGTTTGGTTAGCTTTTGAGGCAAATGCCGGCATTTTTGTGCTTTGTAAAGAATATTACCATAAAAGATTGGATGTGAAATACCTAAACGTATAAGATGACTGCATGTTGAATTATATTTAAGAATGATGTCCTTGTACCGATGATAAAATTTAGTAAATATTTTGACTAGTTTGTGATATCGAAAACCCTGGAGTAATTATTTTTCAGTAATACAGAGATTTCTTTCGTTAAAATCAAATACGTTGTTACATACACGAGCGAATCGAACAAGTTGAGATATATAAACACCATAAGATGGTGACAAGGGCACATCACCATCTAGAAATGGATAATTAACAATAGGAAATGAAAAATCATCTCTTTTATCATAAATTTTGGTATTAAGCTTCCCGTTAAAGATATAGATATCAAGATCCAGGAAAGGGCAGTGTTCATTGTTAGTATTAGCTTTATTTAAAGTCAGTTCAGCAGGATAAATCTCTTTAGTATACATACTGAAGTCGTCATTATTGAGAGCCAATATATCATCCAAATATCTAAAAGTGTTATTAAAGAACTCTTACCTGAGCATTTTCTGTATATTCCCCATTATATTGCTATTTAACAGTAGATTGTAATAGGTATTTGTACATGTGTATTTGAATAAAGGAAATGTAATTTTTTCCTTAACGGAGAATGAACACTGATTTAGATAAAAGTTAGTTTTTTGTTGTTGTTAAGAAAGCGCATTTTTAATGCCTCTTCCTGGAAATAATTGAGCAAAAATAATTAATGGCAAATAAAAAATATGCTACATATTTGAAGATTTCCCCTAACTTTCTTGTCAAAATCGTTGAATTTCAAATGTTTCTAACAAAATATCTGACAGTGTCTTCAATTGAAATATTGCAAAATTCTCCATCTTTTAGCAATAGAATAGTAACTTTACAGTGAGATTATGGTAATGAAGATAACAAAATAATTATTGAAGGTATGGTCAGAAAAATTGTCAGACTACCTACAAAATTGGTTGAATCACAACATCCATTATGCTTTGATTTTCAATTTTTGCCATTCAAAAAATCATTACAGTGAGAAATTTTAAAAGCAACACTGATGAGCAATGCTCTACAAATAGCCGATATGGCTGAAATCATTTGAAGACCCCTTAAACTTAAACAAGCAAAAATGATCAGCAAGACAAGATCTTCAAATAAAAGACGATAGTTGAATCATTTGACAACTCCTTATTGAAGTATTTGCTCTTTCCTACTTTTAGTGTTTTTGCCGATTATCTTCAAAATTATAGTGGGTTCCCACTTTAAATAGCAATGAGATCTACAATAATCAACATGACCAAAATTTTCTGTCAACTCCTTATTGGAGTTCTGACTTTTTTATGACAATTTTCACCAATGTTTTGCCTTTTGCCAATTATCTTGCAAATTATAAAAGATAGATGGACACTTTAGATTTAAGAATTATCAGCAAGACAAGAAAAAAAATGAGTAATTTTTTTTTAGAAATAGTTAGTGCACTCTTGATAGGAGTGATTGTCCTTAAATGAAGATTTTGTTTACCCTATTTTATGATTTGGGCAAAAACTAAAGAAGATAAAGAGAAACTGTTAAGAGAAAAAAATATCAGCAAT